TGTGTGTGTGTATACATTGGAGCACATTCGGATTACGCATGCATGTCTGTGCATGTGTGGATATATTCTCATGTAGTTGAGAAACCGTGCGTGTGTGTGGCTCATCAGCAGAAGCGTTTTGTAAAATGTCTGCTGTTTAAAATGAGATTAGGCCTCTTCTCCTCGGAAACAGTACCTCTGTGGTGTGCTGCAAATTTGTAAAGGCTTTGTTCAAGCTTTCCGAGTTCCAGGAAAGAGTTGGTGGAGTTGCATTATTAGCAGAAGTACTCTGGGAGCTCGCAGAGGTGTATTGCGAAGTGAAAGTTTTTCTTCGTTCCGTTGAAATGCAGTGCTTATTGTATGTAAAACTCGCATTCAGTTCGATGTTTGCGTTTCCATAATGATGCAAATAAATACGCATGAAATGGATTTGGAATGCCCCGCTTGAAATGGAGCTGCATTGGAGCCTATACTTCTCTGATCTTATTTTGAGGTGATAAATGAGGAATGAATTACCTTACCCAATTAGTAGATAATTGTGAGAGAAATGCTTTGAGGAAAGTTCGATACTTGAGCTTCTATTCACGGGTGAGAGCGTGCCTATGCTGGGTTCAAGTCTCAGTCGAAAAAATAAAAGTTATAGAGTTTTAAGCTATTGCATAGCTTTGAGGGCGGTAACCGCATCAAGAAATTCTGTAATGGAAATAAACCTAACACAATCATAAAGTATACGCAAAATTTTTTCATACTTTTAGGCGTATTTTCGCATATCTCAAGCGGAACAAATCAATCGAACAGCAGGGTGGTTCAAAAATAATTATATTTAAGACAATTTTTTAATAGCAAATAAAATATGGAATTTAACAAAAATTAAATTAATAAAAAAATAAATTATTCAATATTCGGAGTCATAATATTAGTAACATTATTATTATTTTTGTAAATAGCTACCTCACCTTTTGGAACAGTATACCGTTTGAATTGAATAATAAAATTGAAATTAGGTATTTCAATCGGATTATCAATGTTAATAAATTTCCCTTTATCTTGCCTGGCGATTTCAATATCAACTTCGCTGATAAATTATCAGAACGGTTGACAAAACGGGAAAATTTAATTTGAAAATGAATAATGATCCACAAGAATCCACACCAAAATATGGGACCACCGTTGACGCGGTATTTTTCAGATATTTAGAGGATATCAAACTTATGTTTTTTATTTCAGTTACCATAAATCTATAGTTTCAATGATAAAAATTCCTGAATAACCCATATGCTGTGTAAGATAATAAAAATATTTTAAACAATATTAGCTTCTCATTTATTCAAGAAAAGAAAAAAAATGTTTTCCATCATCAATCCAAATCAAAGAAATGGCTTGACTTAATATCAAAGAAAAAAGAATACTGCATAAAAAATAAATAAATAATTATTATTGCATTAGTTGATAAAAAATGCTATGCAATAGCTTTACCGCGGCAGTCCTCGAGTGCCACATGTATCTTTTTACCTTTAGGGGCGACCATTATGCCCCTAATGTTGATAAACACCAACATAACTCTTAATTTCATAAATTTATTTAAAATCCATTCAGACAACACAAAATGTTTGTCATATCAAAATATTTATAGTATATTCGGACAAAGCTTTAAAGATAATGAGACAGAACGACACAAAATAACTATTCCTTACTAGTAGCCTGTATTTGTTTTAGTGTAGATGTCTCTCATGAAGTCGGACTTTGTTATTGTTTGAGCTAGCGTGTCGTGTGATATGACTGAAGTTTTTATCAACCGCCGTCAACAGAAATCGCAAAACAGTCCACTAACACGACAATATTCGAGCAACGCACACACGTATATATGTAGGTATGTAAGCTGCTAAAAGAAGAAGGGAACTCATATTGTAATATCTGGTACAAGCGTACACACACGCACGTACGGGCATGCATTGCCCCAATGTGGCTGAGTTAACACCGACACGACATTTAAAGCGCTTCAAACTGTCCCCCGAGACTACAGTGGTGTGTAACGCCTGTGGTACCAGTAGCAGCAAGTCGAAAAAGTTTTCAACTTTCTTTGTTTAGACATGAAAGGCGGCCAGCGGTGGCATGAGCCGCACTACTTTCTTCCGCTTAAAGCAGACGCACACATCACTTTTACATATGTACATTTTCTCTCTTGCGCAGCCTCGCCTGCAGTTGGTTGGACATTTTTGCTGACGTTTTGCTCCTCTTTACTGCTCGCTGCTTATTCTTATCGTATATGAATATATGAATGTGTGCACACTGAAGTTTTAACTTCCGTTTCCGCTTTAACGCCAACGCAATGCCGAAAGCAAACAATCAACTAACCAGTTGGGAGACATCACGCACGAAATCAGCCAAACCTCGAGCCAACAAGCAACTTTCGGACTCATTCCATTCCACTCCTGCCCGTTAGGGCAAACAAGTACCTACGTTGCAAGTCTGAAACACAAGCAAACCGGAGTATAGGGATTCTTCAGGTTTTTGGCAAGGCAATTGCTTGCTTTTCTTTTTGTATATTTTTCTGTTTTCTTTGCAGCTGAATTACTGCGTACTGTTGCATGCCGATTGGCTGGGCTGGCTGTCAATCGCTGCGTCAATTACGTCTTCCTTGCTTCGTTTGCTTTTTTTACCGTTATACGATTCATTGCATTCACTTACTCAATAAAATGGTACTCTTTACTAATTTTCTCCAGAAAGATTTGCTTATCTCAAGGTTTCGCGGCCCTGCTGGTCCTGTTGTGAATTATCGACTACTGGGTTGGCGACCAAGTGGATTTGCGTCCAATAAGTCGATTAGTGAACCTCTCCAACTGCAGTTGCTTCTGGCTCCATTGAGAGTTCAAGTGATTCCTCCTCTTTATCTTTATTCCGTTTAAGTCCCCCTAATATGTCTTTTTTATACCATCACATAAACATTTGCAAGATGCTATCGGTGTTGAAGTATGTTCTTCGGAATCGAATTTCTATTGAAGCTAGATCAGCTCACACCAATTTGGAATGCTTCCTTCTACTTTATCTAGCTCTTTTACTCTACTCCATACTAGAAGTTAGCCGTATAGATGCGCATCTTAACGCCTTTGACTGTAATGATTCCATGGCTGAGAAATACTTAAAAAGCTTTAAATGTCATTGTAAAAGAACTCCCAAAAGGGTGGATACATCAATTCGTAATTAAAGGCGAACAAATTTCATAATTGTGACCAATAAATATTGTTTGCGTCGCCATGTTGCATTAATTAATGATTTGTGCAGAAAACAGAAGCTAAGTACAAAAATACAACAACCTCCCCCAGCTGCGGCCTTCATTATTCCCTCTCAATCAACTGAACCGACCCAAACAACAGCGTAATTTGTTGAAGAACTTGTTGCAATGAAATTTCCGCTAATTAAATCACAAATACACAACATTCTTTGCAATCGGTCATGCTTTTATTGTGCTATTGCACACGCCCAGTCGGAATTGCCGTCAAATGGTTGACTCTTAAGAAATATACTCACGTATTGATCCCAATATACTCGCATCGCTTGATTTCCAAACTTCGTTAATGTCCGATGCAGCACGGAGCTGGCCGGTGCGATTGGCAAAGTTGGGATCGTTCCTTTGCAACGTAATTAACTGCCAATTAGTAAAGCATAACGTACACAAGTATTAGTTAGTCACGTAAATAAACGGTAAAGCACGCGAATCAAAGCAACAACAAATGACGACGGGTAATTACACCAAGAAATGGTGCAACATTTGAAGCACAAGCACAGAATGAATTGACGGCCCTAATAAGGACGCTTGCCGATTTCACAAAAAACATGTCTCGAAAGGCAGCCGTAGCATTATTTGGAGCCGAGGAATCTTTCACGCGAGGAATAGGACAGCAGTTCGGTTATACTGGTAACATGGCAGAGTACACACATCAAGCTGAGAGAATTCTTTTGGTGGGAAGCGATACTCTGCATTAACTGGATTAACTTGTTGGTCCCTCACCTTGTTGAAGCTAGCCTTCGAAGTCAGTACACATGGATACAAGGACACACGCACTTGAAGCTAATTAAAATTCCGTTTTTACTGTGTCCTGCAGCGTTTGCCTCAGCAAATGTAATTATGTGACATTTGCACATACGTCTGAATGGCAGCACGAGTGAGCTGAGTGCAGGGATTTTCACAGTTATGTTTTCGAGCGAATAGTTGCGAGAAAATCTGATTATTCACAAGTAGCAGTGTTAGGAGAGGCAGTGCTCATAACTTCATATCTTTAAGTACTACAAGTATACTTTGTGCACAAAAACATGCACAGGCGCATACATAACTGTGTCATAACGAATTGATGCCATAAATTGCCGCAACATCGACATTTCAGCATAGGTAATTAAAATTGATTGATTTCGGTTTTAATCGTCGCTTATGAAGCCAGAATTAAGCTCACAGCAACACAGTAAATTTAAACCTAAATAAATATCAATAAATGTGTGTATAAATATTTATCATCAAGCTGTTTCAAGAAAAACTGTTAGTTCCTGAAACTTGAGAGCGCTACATTTAAGGACAAATTGAGTTGCTGCAAATTGCTTGGTTATGAGCTCGAGTTTATAGTTTTACAATTAATATCTTCTCATTTATTTGTATCATGTATTTGTATACGTCAATGTAGAAATCTTAGGCCGAACTCTATTGAAACATGGAGCGCTCTTTACTTGTAGATGCCGACCCAATACTTTTTCGACAGTATCTTCAATCAAGCCAATGCATGTATTCTGAAGAAATTAACAAAATTGTAATATCCTTAGACATAAACAGATGAATTGGGTGTACGGCCTATATTAAAAGATGTGCATGATTGTGTTTATATAATTATATTAGCTGTCATAGCGGCACATCTTTTCATTTTATATTATATAAGCTCTTGCTTTTACTTTTGTATTGAGGTATGAAGCTCACTCACTCATTTCCACTTAATAATTCTTCTTTTACACGCCCGCTTTCATCCGCTGCCACACAGATTTATGATTGGGCAATACATCACTGTCCACGGAGATGTAATTAGTCACGTCAACATAAGCCATGTTATGGTGGAAGATGGCGGCGAGTATTCCTGCATCGCGGAGAACCGTGCGGGGAAGGTGCAGCATGCGGCGCGTTTAAACATTTATGGTAAGTATAATAAACGGAATAATAAATAAGCAAATGTATCAAAATTAATTCCATTCTTAATACTTTCGAATGTTTATGAACACTGATGTTATATTAAAAAGCGCCATGACTTTGTGAAAATATTGCCATCCTGTTGGGCACAGGCACTCTACAATTCGGTCATTGGCTTATATGTCCACAAACCAAATGTTTGTGCGATGATTGTCGTCCATATGTCTGCAGGTCATTCACAGGAAAATTGCGAAATTCCCGATTATTTGCCTCCAACATTTCAGCTGGCCGACGTTGCCATTCAGTTTGCACAAAATGGTTTTCCAACATCTTTTTGAATATACAAGTACCACTCGTATTTTACACCCGCGGCGCACTTTTCAAACGCTCAGCTAAAATTTCATTGCGATTCTTCCGAACAGAACGATACGCTATTTGCATGCATACCTTACACATGTATGTGCTCGTATTTACATGATAAATATGCATTCGAAAAATAAGCCTCGCAGAGATTTATTGATGTTCATGGAAAGCCGAACTCACGATGCGCCAAAATAATTGCAAAAAGATACAGAAACAAATAAACATAGTATATGTGTGGAATTTTAGCACTGTTATGTTATTGTTGTAAATTAAAAATAATTTAGTCATATAATTAAACCTTCATTTTCAGGATTTTTTTAATATGAACTACATACTCTTATATTGTGTCAAATATTTCCTATATTTAAATATATTTTCGGAAATAGACTGTAAACCTGCTTAGCGTTTAGTAGTAATGTCAAGGAGTGAAAAAATTGGACGGAGAGTTGGGAGCTCGGTGAAATTTTCATGAAATCCAACTTCAGTATTTTAATCAACTTTTCCTGTTTGGATTTCAGCGAATACTTTGATTACTTATTTGCGAAAAATTCTCATTGCCGCTCCCAGGTTGCACGTAAAATGCATTCGTCCGTTAAACTAAGCGATTTTCCACTTTTGCTCCTTTAACTATGTTATCCTCTTTTGCGAGTACTAATATACTTTACAATATATAAACTAAAAAATTACGAATCTTTTGGTTTTTTAAAAGGTTTATGGTAAATATGGATTGAAACTTAACTAAAAATATACATGAAACCTGATAAATTGAACATTGATGTAAAATTGTCTAAACTCAAATTCTAGTTTTCATGCTTTTCCTTTAAAGCGTTCACTATTTTCAACATTCCAATTCCCAGTTAGCTTGAAAGATTTTTCGAGGAATCCATGTTTTCTTACCGAATGCAAGTGCCACATACTGCAAATCACTTCTAAAAGTCATTTTTCAATAATTTTTGTGATTAAAGCGGCTTTAATTGTTGAGAGCAGCTTGAATAACATTTATTTTTATTTGCATCGCTGGTATGAAGAAACGCAGCTGTTTTCCGTGAAAATGTTTGATGGTTACTTTCCGCAAATAAAAAATCCTACGCCATAAAGTTTGTCATAAATTTTACAAATTTTCAACTGGAAGCAAGTGCGCCTTTCAAAAATGCAAATGCCACACTTTTTGCACTCAACTACCACAGCTTTCTGTTTTTGTGTTTTCTTTGTAAAAAAAACTGCAACAAATAATAAACATACTCAACGCAGAATTGAAAGGGCTAGGAGAAAAAAGGATTACGAACCACTGCTGCAATACAGGAATCTGCTGACGTTGCACTGACCTACATAGATAAAACCAAAACATTCTGGCTTTTCTTTTTTTATGGCCGTACGTGTACCCGTATGCCTAAAGGGCAGCGGAAAGCTGTACATATTCGTACACTCGCTGATATCTCCTCGACATGTGGAGCTTCAGATGAGTGGGCGGTTGGTGTGAGTGCAATGGGTCTGTTTACCCATCGACGAAATACTTACAAGTATCCCATTTGGCAGTTTTTATATGTTACAAATTAGGTAATATTTCTGGCAGCTTACTTCTAGAGTGAGGGCATCTCCTCCTCTTTCCTCACTCATTGTCATTATAAATTCAAAATTTTCATTTAACTTTCAAAAGCTTGCAACCGAATTTAAATCAACCGTTATTTAAATGATAACTTCTTTTTTTCTTTTTGTTAACAATAAATTCAAACCGAATTTGCTATCATACTCTTCTTGCTTTTGCAGGTCTACCTTACATCCGCCTCATACCGAAAGTTACTGCCGTGTCGGGTGAAACCCTAAACTTAAAGTGTCCGGTGGCTGGCTACCCCATCGAAGAGATACATTGGGAGCGCAACGGCCGCGAACTGCCAGATGATATCCGACAACGTGTGCAACCGGACGGATCGCTGACCATCACACCGGTGCAGAAGAACACCGATTCGGGCGTGTACACATGTTGGGCGCGCAACAAGCAGGGCCATAGTGCGCGGCGCAGTGGCGAAGTCACAGTGATAGGTCAGTATACTTCAAGCGAAACTGAGCGAGCATGAATATCGCCTACTAAAGAAAGAAAAACAAGTAAGAAGGTGCTAAGTTCATACTCTTGCAACTTGCAAGGAACACCGTCAGGTTTTAGGAAAACTTTATATCAAACTAAGGAAAGTATCGCCGTGATTTCATCCATTTGAAGAAAGAGGTTACACTGTTATTAGAAAAAGATTATTTCTGAACTTCTTTAAGATTTCTTACATATTGACCGATAGATGCGATATAAAGTGAACGGGAGGTTTCGAAATATTTATGTTAGGTATATAAGGGCAGACAGTCATTCGGAATTCAACTCGTCTCGTCATCCTGATTATTTATATGTATATATGTAACTCGATATCTATCTCGATTAGTTTTAGGTGAACAAAACTATTATACTCTGTAGCAACATGTTGCAAAAGTATAAAAAGAGGCCACGGTTACTATAACAAAAATGCAAATAGCAACAATATAGAGGCAATGACAATGATAAGAGCGAAACAAACTCATTCATATGAAAACTAGCCATTGCAAGGGCGAAGCTCCATTAAAATTAAATATTTCGTAGTGAAACATTTGACAATTTATAATATCGCTCTGAGCAAATTAGTTGGTTAATTAGTTATTGACGAGCAAATTTAAGAGTATACGATACATGTGAAAGGCGCCTAAGTAAGAAAAAAGTATAGTCATCAGACAATTTAACCGTTGCATTGTGTCGGCGCAATAATAATAATTAAATTTGTAATTGCGACAACAGGGGGGCCGAAAGAATTTCAATTCGGAAGAAGAATATTATTAAGTTAACTTTTCTTATGACCAACGCATATTTTGCTTGTCCGCATTATTGCTTAACTTTATTATTGCTTTAATTTCGGCATTGAGAGGGAAGAGATAAGCACTTATAAGCACTTATCAGCACGAAACTTGCAGTCGCTTGTGTTGTTATTGAGTTGCTTCCCAAAAGCGTCGCAGTTCATCACTTCGAAATGGGAACTATTGCAAACTTCTCTGCGGTTGCTTATAAGACAGCAACTCCGAAACACAGCAACTGCACGCCTTAACGACAACAAGGCGATGAGCAAGAAGGACACTGCGGCCGAGCTCGACGACAAAGTCTTTTTTACTTGTTCTGTTGCAAAATGTTCATTGTTTCAAAGTTGAAAAACTTTTTGGCATTAAAATAAGTAATAATTGGAATCGCTTTTAGTTTTATTAGTAAAGTTTTAAATATTCTCTGCGTTGCTGCAGGCATTACTTTTTTGTAATTCCTTATGCACGACAGTCACCTACACTAGCGGGCACTCAGGTTTAATAACTTATTATATATTAATAACTGAGTATATTTTATGTAACCATCATTAGCATATGTATATGTATCTGACATGCTTTTAAAAAGTTCCAAAAAAAAAATTTTTAGAAGGCAAGACATTTTATGTATAGCCTCCAGTGTAATTTCGAATAAGAAGAGTACTTCTATGCCTCAGATGATCTGTACAGGTTTCGTTTCAGCTAAAGTTGGTTTACTTTGGAGGTTAGGATTCTTATAAGCTACCAGATTGTTCAGACATTGTTCAAAGAAATGCCACTACTTCGTCGCTGTTGAATATTTCAGACGATTTGTATACGACAAGGTTTTACAGTCGCTGTCGCACATATTGCTTTCTCTACAATACATTCAAAATCCATATAATCTAATGTAGTGGAACAGATGTTGTGCCATAATTTCACCAGCTCTCACATCTTGCGCCTTTGATAATCACTTGAAAGCGATATCTTCGCATAGCAGGCTGATTGAAAGTATTTGTAGCATAAAAAAGACACCTAAATGATTTGATTTTCACCTGCCACAGTCAACGTCAGCAAAACCTCTAATGAGCACTTGTCACTTACTCAGCAGTTTCGGGGCTTTCCGCCACTCACAAACCCTCAATCATTTATAGAAGATTTTCCATCGGCCGGAAGTGCTGCACAATTTTTCGGTTTCTTCACAAACCAAATTGCATTCCGCCGCCTCTCAGATACTTTGTTTCTCTTCCGTTTTAATCAACTGTTCTTTGTGTCGCGGCATAAATGAGCGACTAGAGAGTAGGGGCCTGTGCTTAAGTTGGGGTGTGCTCATTCATACGGATACATATTCGTATGTGAGAATACATAATTCAAACTCATTCGTGTACCTCGAAGTTAAGTGGGGCGCCTTATCGAAAGTTATAAAGTTATGTGTATGCCCAGATCTGTTTGCATGTTTGCAAGCTGTGCGAAGCATTTACTAGGAGTGGGCCGGAATAACATACATATCTGTGAACCTGGTCCTAATTTTTGCTCTTTCGTGCAATCAACTAATGATTTTGGTTACTTCTACTGAGAAACTACTGAAATTGTAACCGATTTGGGGTAAAAGAAAAGTGCATTCTGATCTGCAGTTATTTCCTAGAGGTGTTGTTCCCATAAGTCAGCAAACTTTCAAAACTGTGCTTTTCCTTGTTCGCTGCCGACTCCGCTGAGGCATTTTGCGCCTTTCAATGGCGTCCTATTTCGGATTTCCACGTATTTTCAGCGATGTGCTGTATACATTTTCCTCGCCTGCGATGGCCCACTCCCCTGTTTTTGGTATCCTGGACAAATTAGGCCCTTGTGGCATCTTTTGTATACTTTCATAAACACGAGTGAAAATAAAATGTATATGTGTTCGAGTATATACGAGGTATATGTACATACACATATAGTAGGTATCCATCTATGGTGGTGCGGATCCCCATTTTTAACGTTTAATTTAAATAAGTATGCACATTGTTACAATTGTTTGTCTGTTTCTTACATTTGCTGCTGCTGTTGGCACTTTAGGGACTCGCTGCGGCAAAGAGTCTGGCTCATTTAATCGTACATATCTACAGTCAAGTGCCTTCATGAAAGTAAATAAATATGACTGTGGATTTGTACCTCATTAGCCTTTTGGTTTTTGAGGTTTGCATATTTACTTTGTCGCCACTCCACAAGTGTTCCTTGCATTCATAACACATAACGCTATTGGTACACCACATGCCTTACACATTCTTACATACATATATGCGGTATTACTGTAAAAGCCTCTGGGCCGCAAGGTTTTGCGGTAAGGTGTTTGAGCTGACGTTTGTGTGTATTAGTGGTGACACATTTAATGGCATGTCAGCTAATAACTTTGGCCACACTGTTCACTTTAGCAGCTTGTGAAGATTATTATTGAAAAAAAAAAAATTATTATTTAAAAATGAGTGAATATTAATTTTGACATTCAATGTTTGTAGGAATTAGTTCACAGAAGTTTATGCTGTTAGTTATGAGCAAAATTCTATGAATTTTTTCTATCGAATTAAAAGTTCATTTGTGGCTAATTAGCGCGGCCTTAATCAGCAGCTGCTTATATGAAAAATATACAAAATATTTATGCTAGAAGTGCTCATCAGCATCAAAACAAATGATTTCTGTTGGCTATCTCTTAGATTTGCTTCTTTCAATAATTAGAATAAGCATCAGAAGAGAGTTCCTACATCGCTACCAAACGCAGAATGCAAAGTCTCACAGGAAAATTTCTTTCGGACACAACATCTAATTAACTTGAACGTGATGACCTACAATAAAGCTTTTCAATTGCAAAAAAATTCACCGTAATCAGTCAGCTTACTAACAGCAAGCAAAAGCAAAGTTGCCCAATTTAATAAACTCAAACAGGTTAATTAGAGGAAATGCAGAATAAAGAAATGAATGTGTGCATAAATCTTTAGATTCTAAAGTGGGCTATATTAAAAAAATAGTAATAATTTAAATAAAGCAAGAATCTGGTTAAAAGTTAAAGAGCTTAGTCCAGAGCGATATCGAAAAATTCATCCACGTTGATAACATTAGATTAGTTTTTCAAACGAGCATGCAACATCAGCTCCAGAGAGCGAAATCATATATGATAACAAAATATGCGTGTTCTTCCATTTTACAAACATTTTAATATTTATTTATAAATCTTCGAAAGGTGAGTTTGATAGCACATGAGCATAAATATACATATATGTTTATTTAAATACGCAGCGCTTTGAACTTACAGACACCTGCTTTAATATACTATATTTCTGCACTTCCCTCTGTCCTCACTGCCAATTCCTTCAAACCTCCTACAGTTCCTCCTAAGTTGAGCCCCTTCCAGACATCGATTCTACAGCTAAATATGGGCGACCGGGCGTCACTCACCTGCGCGGTGGTGAAAGGTGACTTGCCGCTGACCATCTCCTGGCGGAAGGACAACAGACCGATCGATCCGACGCAGCATATGTCCGTGAAGCAAGTGGACCAGTACAACAGTATATTGGTCATAGAAACCCTGGGCTCCGATCACACCGGCAACTACTCATGCGTCGTGCGCAATTCAGCAGCGGAGATAGAGAACTCTCAAGCGCTGCTGGTCAATGGTAAAGAGATGAAGCCTCCACAAAGAGCGTCAATAGTTGCGCTATGAGAATATACTCACATACACAAATATATTTTATTTATTTCCTCGTTGCGTTAAAGAATATTTTTGTACAATTGACTTTTGATTTTTACAACGATTGTTGCAATTGTACAGTTTTAATATATCTACAACAAATTTGTTTATATGTATGTACATAAATATTTTATATACATAGACTGAAGTAGTGTTTTTGAATGAATTTTGATTTTGCCCGTTTCGTATAGATATATCATTCGTTCATTTACCTTTGAATTGGGGAATGCATTTTATGTTAAAGAAAGTATGAATGTAAATGGCTTTAAACCCATTTGAACTCAAAAAATTGTTTATGTTTGTAGTATGTTTATATATAGTCCACAAAGATGAGGTTCATCGAATTTTCTTTAACATTAAATATATATAACTCGAATACAAATAGTTTATTTTCTCTCTGGAATGCTTCAAATTTGTAGTGTTAACGTATTATAGATTGAAAAGTATTCAAAACTGCGAAGGTTTAATTAAACTACTTTGAGAGAAAGAGTAGATCGCAGATATACTCGTATCTATAACAGTATATTGTAAACATATATACACATTTAAATATATACTTGTATTAGAAACTATAAAAAATTTCAGCTAAACGCGTTCAAGTGTACAGCAACCATTCCGCATCGCACATCGTTGGTCCGCCGCAACACAACGCTGGTATAATTCCGCTCTCACTAAGTTTAGGCGCTTGCAAGCTGAACGAATATATGCTTATTTTTGAATACGAATCATATGATTGAACATTTAAATTACATAATCGATATTCTTGTATGTTATTACAGTCCCACCCATAATAGAACCATTTGTGTTTCAAGATGGCCTCGCCGAAGGTATGCGCACGCGCACAGTCTGCGGTGTTTCGCGCGGTGATGCGCCGCTAAAATTGATTTGGCTCAAAGATGGCGAGCCGTTGCCCGAACTGTTGGGCGCCAATGTCACTATGCTTGATCAGTATTCGTCGTTGTTGAGTATACCCTCATTGTCGGCGTCACACACTGGTGAATATACGTGCGTGGCAAAGAATCCAGCTGCCGAAATTAAATACACCGCCGTACTGCAGGTCAAAGGTATAGTATGACGGTGCCTTCGTACCTACACGAATACATACTTACAATCGTATGTATGCATTATCTAAAGGAGGCACATGAACTTGTTACTTTTACTTAACGGAAGAAAGATCTTTTGTTTCCAAAACTTTCCAAACAAAAATAAAATTTTATATTAACATAATTAATTGAATTAAGAGAAATAAATAACCAAACATAAAATTTTGCCATCACCTCACACACACACAGACTATTTTCTCGCAATTTTATTTTTTATAAAAGGTTTCATCAAAAAATTGGTTGAAAGACTCACGAGCTACAAAATGGCAACGTAAAGGAAGTTCTTAAGCAAACATTCCCATTCCGATCGTTCACAAAAGTTTTTTTAAGTCACCGAAAGCAAAGCCAAGAACGTTTCCATAAACACAACTTCACTAAAATCTGTAGCCAATCTCTTTATTCGAGATTCCTCACTAAAGTCATATTCTGAATGCACCTTTATATTTACTTCAGGCACATTTGTTGGTCGAATTGAAGTATAATTATAAGCGTGGATTTTAAAATAACAAAAAAAAAATTGTTTAAATTTGTAAAACAAAAGAGAAATAAAAATGAGAAGAGCTAATAGACACATTTACCGAACTTTTGATGAAATCACATATACCATACATATACAATGTACACACACACACAATTTGCACATAATTTAAAACAACACTGAAAATAATAAAAAACAATGATTAATAAACAAATATATATATTTAAAGAAAATTTAACGAATTCACTGACAAAATTTAAATGAACACCCTACACATCTTAAAACGATCCAGTTTTAATTTAACTTTTCCGTTGAATACAAAAATGGCTTCTTATGGATTTAAGTTTTTAATTATAATAAATAGTGACTATTGATTTTTTAGCTTCAGTACGAAATACTTTCGAGAAGTAATTATTTTTGAATCAATAAAATATCGTAGAGCGGAGAATATGAGATATGTTAGGTAAAGGAGGAATCAAATACAAATACACAAACAAATTGTGAACACATACAATCACATATATAGCTGAACTTTGAAAGATCCCCCGATATTCCCCTTAACCAAAATCCATCCTCCAGTCGCTTTGGCACGCTGTGGGTTTTTTGTACGGCAGATCACCAGGTAACCTTACTGTTGCACTGCTTCAAACGCTTCTTACTATTTTTATTTACCATTGCATTGTTTTTATTTAAGGAATATGCATTGCTAAGCGCTTTAGATAGTGTAGTTGCGATTGAAATAAATAACTGTAAAACAAAAATTGCCACAATATGATCATAACTACACACATAACTACGGAAAATCAAGAAAACGTCAGCAAAAACAAAGCACGAACTCGAAATGGATCAACAGTCATGATAGATGTATTTGTATGTCGCGGAACACCGTGGAGCTTTTTGTGATTTTTAGTCGCTTTTACCTGCGCACCCGTTGTACCCGCTATCCGCTCTTTTGCTCTGCTTGCTAAGCTCTCTACTCGTACTACATTTGCAAACAACTTTCTGCTTACTCTTTAAATCCTCGCTAAACACACTATATTTTATGTATATATGTATATGAAGATAAATAAAAGGAATCACGTATCAGTTTAAGCCCCGCTTTTTGTTACGCGGCTTATGTCACGCGACACTCGCGCCAAACCAACGCCGCTTACTACACCGTTATATACATACATATAGCCATATATTTTGGGATTTTCATATATGGCTGTAGAGCTGTGGCGTCAGAAAACAACAAAAATGTAAACATGTTTAAAGCTTGCTAACAATTTGGTATATCCTGCTTAAATTTCGCGCTCAACTAACCGACATTCGTTGCGCTGTTTTTATTATCATTTAAAGCTTCGCAGTATTTGTAAAATTATTACTCATACCGCGGTATGAATGTATATGTAGCTAGTTTGCTTACTTTTGTGCTTCCCCCTCACCTAAACCGCACTTTGTCACTTCTCTATTTATGCTATGCTCATTCATCATTTTTGTTTAAGAATATCTTGTGCATGAAATATGTAAAATGTGATTTTTACACGTGAAAAACACGAGAATTTCCGTGGCTCGGTAAAAACAAAATAATTTCTACATTTATAAAATTTCGTGACTTTCGACAAATTGAAGTTCAAAAAAATGGTTCTCAATTCAAAACTTTATGGCGTAGACTAACTCCACATCTTAAATTCTATCGTTAACATTTGGATTATTTTGTATTTAAAATTTTTCGGAATCGGATTGAATTAATTTTTCGTTTCACTTCTATTTCAAACATCGAATTGATTTAAAAATTGACAAAGTTATACATTGGTATCAAAATCAAGGACAAATGTGATCGAATCGTGAATTTCCGTTATACACACACGAATGTTTAGTTCTCGCATGCTTTTGATTTAAGTTACGCCTACTCTAATATTAAGCTGTAGTATTCCTAGTATTTAGAAAACTGCTTCTTATATACTTTTGTTGCTTTTAGAATGTATGTATGTATAATTATGCAGCAGATTTGCGTGCTTTGCTTTAAATGCTTTCGTGCTTTGTTCATTTTTTTGGTTTAAAACTTTCGTTTTCTATCAAAAATCATCTAACGACTATGGCTTAAAAATTGAAAAAGACTAACTTTACATTTTAAGGCTGTTGTGTGCAATGATTTTTTTGCTTACCCCCGCGATACCAAAGTTTGGAAGACTAGATTTGTGAAAAATGCCAAAATACACACCGAAAGCTTTACTGTACCCAATCCCATCAGGCTTATTATACTTTTAGCAAAACGCATTTATTTCTTCATAATTTACTCGCTTACAATTATTTTTTCACCTTATCATTTCACTCAAATCTGGACTCACTTGTTTATTTTAGCTGTTAAGTATTTTCTAAGTTTTTCTAAATAATTTGTTTTTGTGCAATTGAACGCTTTTGTAGCCACGCAAAGCTGCTCGTATATAACTAAATGCTTCAATAATCACACATATTTGTAATATAGCGCTGTCGTCTGGAAGCGCATTTTGCTAAAGCTTTGATTGAAGAGCTAAGATACCGGATGTATGTATGTATGTGGATGTGTTTACTGTGTGGTGTTTGAAGCATTTATTTGTGTGCTTTTAGCTGACATTTATGTATCTTTTATTTGCAGCGTTACAATGGTGATCAATTTGAAATTCTTGTTAGTTTTCATTTCTATTCCCAACACGAAACGCTTACATATGGTCCAGTACATAGGTGTGTGTATCAGTTTCATAACGAAGTAATAATAATTTTTGATTGCATGTGTATAACTAAATTCCCCGCTAATCCATCCAAATCACTGACACATTCGGAAGTCTGGGAAGATTGAGGTGTTAGGTACTGACGCTTGAACTACACAAAATTCTTTAATACTGATGTATTTAAGCTCTAAATTATATTCAATTTTAAAATATGTATGTTATAAACTATTAATCGAAGATTGATCGGCTTTCGAACTGAAAAGTAGACAGTTTTTTCCGAAGTTACATATACTTGTATAAAGATTGAGAAGATCTTTTATTTAAGGGATCTAATATGAAGTGACATAAAATTATTATTTTAGCATTTTTAGCCTAGAGTTTACTGAATTGCTATAAGAATGCTGTAAGCCTAAAATGGAGACCCCGCTCCATAGGAATGCCATAACTCGTTATGCTACGTCATGTTATAGCTCGAAATTGGGTACTGACATACAATACATATACAATTTTACAACAATTTTTAATTAAATTAAAAGTTATTTTTGAAACTAACTGCGTAGTAATACAAAAAGTAAAACAGATTGAGGCGTTCTCGAATAATTAAAATTGTAGAATAGAAACGTGTAACAATGGAATCTGGAGCACAAAACTTCAATCGACAAATATTATTATACTAGTATGGTATCATCAAGGCTTCAGCATGAGTGCTTGCTGGACCTTTGAATACCTACATATGAAGTTTATATAACAAACATGGTAGAATGTTATTTCATAAAGCTTAATTTTGTAATACTATTAATCCTAGGGTAGACATAAAAGGAAAATAGAAAAAGTAACTGTTTGATTACAAATGCCTTCTGAAAAATCTTTGCACACACAGTTTGATGAGCTTCGATTTAATAAGGCGTCTGACTTTTATTGGCAGAAATGAAAGAAAGAAATAAGGTACAACTTGAAAAGTATGAAAATTTTAATGAATTTATTACATTTTATGTTTGAGTTTTTATCGAATTTTGTTGCATAAATAATTCCAATTAAGGTCTAACGCATTTAGTTCATTATTCACATTTTCGGCGTTCGGATTCATTCTTTATTGTTATATACCGTTGAAATGCCTTCAATTTAGTAGTTTTTTAGTTCACTTTCACACTCTAAATAACTGTAAATGAAACTTAAATAAAAGCTATTACCAACATCTTTCAAATTACTGTTTTTCAACTTTTTTCTATGAACTTACTTCTGAATTTTCTTGCTGTCTCTAATTCACCCAATATTTTGGTTAACCACTATAGATTACTTTGAATGTTATCTAATTAAGGGGTAAAAATAAAACGCCTTAAGAAAGATTATAATTTGTCCCATTTACAATTTAAAACCCATAATTTGTTTATTAAACATTTCGTTTGTTTCTTTTATTGACGACTGTGAAAATAGTATTTCCAATGGTTTCGTTCATTTTCACTCTGATTTATTGCATTATCGATCCGCATTCATGCTTTACTATAATTGTCCACTTTTTTATTATTGCTTCTCGCTCGTTGCTGCGATTTTTCGATTGTTTTGGTCAACCTGCTTGCCTTGTGGTTTCGGATGGGGTGTATTATAGTGCCGCCACGTTGGATTGTTGAGCCGGCCGACGCAAATGTGGAACGCAACCGCCACATTATGTTGCATTGTCAGGCGCAGGGTGTGCCAACGCCTAGCATTGTTTGGAAGAAGGCTACAGGTATGTGGGAATGGGGTACGCAATAAAATCGCGTTGGTAAAAGTTGTACACAAAAATTGGCTGCTTCGAAAAATCAATACTGCAAATTTTAAATCTGAAAAGATTTGTATCCACATTATGTGACACAATCCGATATAAGTACATCAACCCCTAAGAAGGCTCTTTATATAACGAAACTCAATATTTAGGGGCACTCATGCAGTAATACTCTTTCCGAAATGTTCAAAGTACTCTGAGCCACTCTTTGAGTTATGCAGTAGCACAATAGATCATATAAATAACCTAATATGTAACTTATAGGTAGCAAATCGGGAGAGTACGAGGAGGTGCGTGAACGACCTTTCACCAAGCTGCTGAGCAATGGGTCACTGCTTCTGCAACACGTCAAGGAGGACCGTGAGGGCTTCTATCTATGCCAAGCCAATAACGGCATTGGAACCGGCATCGGAAAGGTTATACAATTAAAAGTTAACTGTAAGTTCGAAGATCCAAATAATTTGCTTAAAACTGGTGTGTGCGTGTCAATGTATGTTCAATGTAAATTAAAATATTTCCCAAATTACACGAAGTTGTAGCTTAAGGCATTAATTATATACCCAAAGGAGGTTTTACATGTATGGTGTGTATATGCAGTTGAGTGCTCGTAATATTTTCCATGCGTGCGATAATATCAACCACTTGCTTTGTTTGTGTGCGAATTTTTAGACTATTCTACAACTTACTTTGTGAAGACTGCTTTATTTATGTTCCATATGTTTGTTTGCATTTTTAATGATACAGCCTCGCCGTACTTCTCATCCACTTCGCGCTCGGTTATGGTGAAAAAAGGTGATACAGCACTTCTGCAATGCTCTGTCAGCGGGGACAAACCGATTAATATCGTTTGGATGCGTTCGGGCAAAAACACACTGAATCCATCAACAAATTACAAGTAGGTCGAGAGGGACAGCCGAAGTCAGCTCTCGCAGCTTTAAATCAACACCTCCCCCCCCCATGCACCTACTCCTCTCCAACGTTCCGTCATCATTTTCATCTTACTCATTAATCTTTTCCCCATCCCGCAAGCTTTAATTCTATCAGTTCTAATTTAGTGTCCGCATATTTCCCACAGGAGCGTTTTCTTCTCAAATGATGAGTTGAATTTTTTCCGCTACATTTCACATTTGTGTCATTGCAGAATTTCGGTGAAACAGGAGGCCATGCCCGACGGTGTTGCTGCCGAGCTGCAGATACGGATGGTGGATGCCAGCGATAGTGGACCATATTTTTGTCGCGCCAGCAATCTGTATGGCAATGATCAGCAGTTGGTGCAGCTGCAAGTGCAGGAGCCACCGCAACCACCCACTGTTTTGGAAGCGGCCATGATTTCCAGCCGTTCGGTGAATTTGAAATGGCAGCCGAAAACAGTGAACACCGCGGATATCTCCAAATATATTGTGGAGTTCAAGGAAATGGACCGTAAGTGCAAAATACATCGGACAATAAATTCAAACCAAAGACAGGACTTTGCAGTGCTCAAGTAAAAACATCGAATATGTTTTAATTTAAATGATCACTGTCAAAATATAGACCTCTAAATCTTACCAATTTCGATTTAACTTCTTTCATCTATTTTAAAATTTTATGTTTAAAAATGACGGTCTACTTCTTGTATTGTTTCCTTGCAGCGCTCTTTATTGAGCAGTGGCAGCATGTCGAAGTGAAAGATCCACCAACTTACACAGCTCTAATTGAAAATTTAAAGCCCGCAACTCGTTACTCCTTTCGAGTGATAGCTGAGGGAACCGCTGGTCGCAGTGCTCCCAGCCAAGAGTTAGTGGTGCGCACGGAGCCACAACGCCCGGCTGGGCCACCTCTCAATCTCTCCGTTCGTCCGTTGTCTTCCACAGAGTTGCTTGTCAGTTGGTTGGCGCCGCTGGTCGAATTGCGTCATGGCGATATACAAGGTTACAATGTCGGCTACAAATTGGCCAGTTCGGGCAATTCAGCTTACAATTTCACCTCGGTATCCGGTGACGGCGATGGCGGCACCGGCGAACTCTTGCTAAGTAGCCTACAGAAATTTGCGCGCTACAATGTGGTTGTGCAAGCGTTCAATCAGGTGGGGCCCGGACCGCTTTCCGAACCGGTGTCGGCGCAAACCATGGAGGATGGTAAGCCTTTGTCAGCTTTATATTTTTGTATTTATTTGAAATATTATTTTCGTTTGCGCTGAACCAATTTATATTCAATGTGATAGTGCCAAGTCGACCGCCTGAGGATATCCGTTGTGCAGCGTTGACCTCGCAATCGCTGCAAGTTTCCTGGCAACCGCCACCGATATATCACACTAACGGACTATTACAGGGATATAAACTCATTTTCGAACCCATTCTAGATGACTTTTCACTCAACAAGGACGAAGTTGAATCACGTAAGACAACCGCGCTGACCACGGTGCTGACAGGATTGCGCAAGTACACCAACTACAGTATTCAAGTGTTGGCGCACACACGCATGGGTGACGGTGCTCTGTCCAACCCATTGTACTGTCACACCGAGGAGGATGCGCCCGAAGCACCCGCAGACATTAAGGTGGTCGTTAGCACGCCACAATCTTTGTATGTATCGTGGCTGCCACCAACAGAGCCGAATGGGGTCATCACAAAATTCAACTTGTATATGCGTGTGGTAAATGGACGAGAGGAATTGAACAACGAAAAACGAAGTCTGCCGTCGCAACAAGTGCACTTTGAAGCGAAGAATCTACACCCGCACATCGAGTATCAGTTTTGGGTGACCGCATCTACGCGTGTCGGAGAAGGCAAGAGCTCACGTGTTGCATCGCAAATCACAACTAATCGTGTGCCTGCGCGCATTGTCTCATTCGGCGGCCCGATAGTGCGGCCATGGCGTTCAACAGTCACATTGCCCTGCACGGCAGTTGGTAAGCCGAAGCGCGAGTGGTACAAAGCGGAAACGCCACTGCGGCAAGGCGGTATGCACAATTCACAGTTACTCGACTCAGGTGACCTGATCATTTCGAGTTTACAAATTTCGGATAGTGGCAACTACAGTTGTCAAGTGGACAATGGCATCGGCACAGACCGTCTCACGCACGTGCTGCTTGTGCAGGTGCCGCCGTCGGCGCCGGTGCTTTATGTGACCAGCGCAACTTCAAGCAGTATTCTGATGCACTGGAAGTGCGGATTCACTGGCAATGCACCCATCACTGGCTATACTCTCTTCTATCGCCGCGCCAACAGCAATATGGATGAGATGCTTCTGTCGCGCCACGCGTCAAGCCACGAGCTGAAAGGGCTGGTTTGTGGTAGCACTTATCAAATTCATTTGACTGCTCACAATAAAGTGGGCACCTCACCGGCCAGCATAACTTTACACGTGCGCACACAAGGTCAGTCACCTGGTATGCCTTCGACAACCAGCTTGATTGCGCCCAACTCCACTTCGGTATTGGTGCGGTTGCACACTTGGCCAGATAATGGTTGTCCCATTCTGTACTTCGTCCTACAATATCGTCCGGTTACTGATGAGGCAGAGCGCGATTGGATACTAGGTAAGTGAAAGTGGCGTTGGCATGATTTAGTTGTTTGTTATCGCCAATTAACCGGCCATAAACTAGCAGTACAGCAAACTCAATTGAATACTTACCGCGCTATTTGTTACTTCACAGGTTTAGACAAACATCTTTTGAGGAAAACTATTGGCATTTATTGGTGCAACATATATTTGGAAGGCATTCAAATTCTTTTTAATTTAAAAATATTTGTTTTGTATTTTTAACTTTCGGGTATCAGCTCACGACCCACCAAGCGTTAGTCATGACCTCTCTATATTCGGTTAGGACCGTCTCTCTGACAATAAGTTACACTTTTAGAGTTTAATGCATAAACATCACTATTGTTATTGCTCTCATTCCCCTTTATACTCTCCCTTTTCACAGTATCCAATGCACTGAAACCGCAACGTCGTTTCACCATTTCCGGTCTGCAACCATCGACTCTCTACCAGCTACGCATGGAGGCGCACAATGTGGCCGGTGTATCACAGGCCGAGTTTACATTTGTCACTCTCACCAAGGACGGGGAGCAGCCACCGCCGGAGATTGTACAGCGCGGCCAACGCGGCTCGAACGTTTTCTATGGCAATGTGAATCTATTGATACCGAGCATCGCCACGTTGTCTGGCATGATTTGCACAATTGCGCTGGTGGTCATGTGCTATCGACACAGTAAGTACTGAAATTGCCGACCAAACGAGGTGTGTTTGTCTATGTGAGAAGTTGTGTGTGGCGAGGACGGTGCCATGTGGTTGAGAATGCCAGAGCGGGTCATTCGTTGCCACCGGCTAAACAAAACAAATCAAAGCCTAACAAAACAAACACAATACTGCCAGAAAATCTACAAACGGGTGTACAAAGCAAGCGGCCAACCTATGAATGAACTATCGCAGGAGTACGCTTCTGCTCTTGTCCATTTGTTTAGTGCTGCGAGAGCGTAGAAGGCGTAGAAGACGTGTCTTTGGGCGGGTGTGCAGACAGAGGCGACTAACAAACACACGCGGACATCCAAATACGATTGGTCAGGCTGCACATCGAACGGCCCTATATATTCGGTTAGCAGAGTTGTATGTAGGCCACACCGAGAAAATAAATTCCACATTGTTAAAACAAATTGAATTTTAATTGCCATGACGCTGACTGTTGTGCTGTAAATAACACGGTTACTACTTTTGGCTGGCACTGTATTGTTGAGCTCTGCTTTGTTTTGAACCACGCCGTGATTGCGAATCTTTTCTTCATCTCCCATACGCCCATAATTGATTTACATACATTGCTTTTTTCGTTTTCTTTTGCTTATTGTATTTGCTTTAGAGCAAGGTAACCGAATACAAAAGGAATCACTGGAAAATCGGCAGAACTCAGAGGCAGCGCAGCGGGAACGCTATTATGCCACCATTCATAAAGTGTCGATGCAGAATAATGACAAAATACCCGGTGAGTTATAAAAATTGTTTTGGGTTTTTTGTGTTTGTACAATTGGAAGGCTTCGTAGTCGTTGAAAAGGAAATGGAAACAATCCGTCATTGCATAAGATTTGCTTTAACAGTTCACTGGTCGAAGGCACAATTTAGTCAGCAGTAATAATTTTCTGCAATCTTGGCTACATTTGGCGTCTTAAAGTCTTGGTTACAACATCCCATTGTAGACATTGAGCCAATAAATGTAGAAATTCCACAAAAATCTGAATAAAGACTGAACCTCTTGGAGAAGTTTTTACAAAATAATTTAAGTAGTACATTCCATATGATGTATATATAATATATACATATTTAGGTATACCTACAAACTTCGTATGCTAAAGTCCATGGACATTGCTCGCCATTAAGGCAAATTAAATAAATCTCAGCGACTTACTACTGAAAATCACAGCCTACCTGTGGCGAAGTCATGTGAGAAACGCAATGTCAAAGCCGACTACGTCTCCATCTCCATTTCCATTTCAATTATTTACTAATTAGTACCTTTTGTTGTTTGCTATATGTCGGTATGTGTACGTACACACATGCTATTCGATATGTAAACACGCCATTGACTTTGCTTATTTCTCTTCCTTCTGCCCGCAGAGACATCCGAGGATATTTCACCGTATGCTACATTTCAATTATCCGAGACGGGAAACATGTCACAGCCACATCACGCCGGCCCGGCTAATACGCTTTTGCACTCTTTCATGTACCATGAGCGAGCTCTGACCGAGGGCTGCTCGTCACCACCACCCGCAGCGGTACTAAAACCAACCCAACACCAAAACCACCACCATCACCTCAACTATCATTACAACCACAGTCAACGTCCATCAAAGACAAACTATAATCATTATCAGACCTCGCCATTTCATAATATCGTGCGTTTATTTTCTTATTTGTTGGTCTCCTACTTTATTTTAAGTTCATCGCTTTAATTTCGCTAGCTCTTGAAAGGATGCCAGAAAGGAAAGAACAGTCCTCTCATATAATCAGAGTCAACTTTTGCTTTAGTTAGTTGATAATTCTCCAGTGTTTTTTGATTAGTTAGATTAATTTGAAATAGCACTGACTCTGTTTATATGCCACCTACTGTTCAAAGATGTAGTGAAGTAGTTAAAAATTACTTGACTGCACCGAGCGCTTTTTCGACTTAATAATTATTTTTAGAGTTTTGTTCAATGAACATTTCGATTACTTTTATTTTCATTAAATTATTCATGATTTTATTACTTTTTATTATTTTCGTTGGTGTAAATATTGGTGCAGTTTTTAGAAAATAGAAGAAAAGTAATTTAAAAGTCAGAAGAATTATGTTTGCAGAACTCCTTTGCGCACTGCTTTTAGTTAAATCAATTCAAATGAAATTATAGTGTTGACGGCAACTGTATTTTTAAAATAATTTGAGTTGTTGTTTTGAGTAAATGCAAATCCTCCTCCTGGTTCGCTACAATCTCACGCCAAGTAACACCTTAGCACGGAAATTAATTGACTTCTGCATTTTCCCCTTTTTCGTTTCATGCGGCTTCGCACTTGCTTACAATTCGCGTCCGCTGCGCTGCTTTACGATTAGTCCTCGAAGAACCGGCGACGCCACTCGCGCAAAACGGAACCAGAGAGCGAAGAGTCCGAATCAGATCAGGATCAATTGACCTCAAGCCGTACAGAGTCTTCCAATCAGCACGAGGGAAAAATCAAGCACAGTAAGTTCCGCAATATGTTTTTTGTTTTTTGTTTGTTTTTTTTTTGCATTGCGCTTCGTACAAACCCGCTGGCACACGCAATTTGTTGGCATGCGATTCACACAAGATTTATATATATTTAAATTTATTTACGACTGCGTTGAGGGAAAAGATATGAACTCGTATAATACCGTTAAAATATAAACTTCCACATAATACTTGGCTGATTTTCAGATCAGATTTATCATTTATGAACAAAAGCATTACAATCGGTGTGCCTTAAAGTCGGCCAGCCTGGAAAGTTTAGTAGCTTTTGATGACGTCATACCAGCAATACTTTAGGATGCTGCTTTAGACGTCAGTTAAAAAGTACCAATGGTATTTCGAAGAATCTAAACTTAATCTAGATCGGACTACGGAATTAAAGACATGATTGTATTTAAGCTTCTAAAAAAGGCACATGATTCTCTGGTGATGTTTTTGTATATAATTTAATCGGAGAATTGTGAAATTAAACTGTATTTGACGAGTTCAGCACCCAGTACTTCCTGCACATATTACAAAACCCCGTTTTTCAACACTTTCGTACACCGTTAGACTGCAATCACACAGCCGAATTTTATGAAAATGATGTTCGTTTTCTTTGTAGTGAGTTCCATCTCTGATTTCAGCTCGTAGTTGTACCTCTCCAAGCCAATGTTCAACCTCTTCCACCAAACAAGATGTGTACTGTAATTTCGAAAGTTAAAACTTACTTCAATCCATTCTTACCCAACTCATTAGCTTGCTGTGAAAAGAAATAAGTTAAAATGTCTCGTTTTTTGCATTCTCTTCACAGACTCTAAAAAAATGCAACATTTTCTAAATCACAACACATCGCAAACATATCTGTAGTAGCAAGTGCAGGCGAACGGCCTCACACCAACACAAGTACAACTACGTAGACAATTGAGCAGAGAAGCAGGACGTCAGAGAGCTCACTGCAGCTCTCGCATTTGTTCTTTAAACTACTTACATACACTTGCAAATTGACATAGTTTATACACTCACACATGCACATACATGCGCCTTCAGTGCCTGATCTATCCAAATATTGAACACTAAAATGCAAACATACACAGATTTATTTGTAAATAGTAATTAGTCCACTTGACAATCGGCCAACCAGTCAATCTCAGTCAACAATCATTTACACACACTGCGCTCATAAGAGCAAACAAATACCAGCGAACAAGCTACAATAATAAACAAGAAATCAAGAAAAAGTAAACGAATACGAATGCTAATGTGTACACTTTCCAGAAGAACGGTAGATTTACACGTGCCCATTCAGCTGTACACCGGCGCATACATACATACATATACTCACCCACACACACACGTATATATCTAGCTACATCAATATGGTACTCATAAGCACTCAAATGTAACATTGAGAGAGTGTGAGAGTGTGAGAGGTGAATTGTGAGTGAAATTTGAAAATAAAACTGTGAATCTTCCTCCCACCCCGCAGGTATCATCTACCATGGAGCACAATCAAGCACATCCTCAGATCTCTCACCAATGTCCGAACAAAAGTCATTGCCACGCCGCGGTCGCTCAAGGTACCATCATCAACAATATCAGTTTTCCACAAATACCACACCGCGCCATCATAACAGTAGCAAAAACAACAACATGAACACCACATCCGGCAACAATTCCAAGATACTATCACCGCGCGGTGTTTGTGGTAGTGCTAGTGGTGGTGGTGGTGTTAGTATTAGTGGTAGTGGTGGTGGTGGTGGTAATCTGAAATCAATCTCAAGCACATTTAAATCACAAGACTCCATACAGTGTCATATACCCACGTTGGTGAAGTCACCGTCGGTAACACAGCAACAACATCAGCAACAACTACAAAAACATCAACATCAACTACAAAAAACCAATGTCACCACCAATGCAACCACAAATAGTTTTAATAGTACTAACAGCAGTAGTTGTAGTAGTAGCATCGCCACCTCCAATAAAAACAAACTATCACAGCAACCCCTTTTGATCACCCCCAAAATAGCACATCACCCACAACATCACAACTTGATCGGCGCCCCACACCCCACAACTCAACTCAGTCAATCCGATACAACGACCGACCTACTAGACAGTAGTTGTAACAACCCCATTGCATCTCTTGGCCCCGTCACTTGCATGCCATCATCACAGTTCCGACCAATACCCCACAAAACGGTACCCGCATCAGTGGCGAATGCCAGTGTTAGCGGAGAAAGTGTAGGAACCATTCTTAACCCCTCCACCGCTCCCCTCTCTTCCAAGTTCTTTTCGGCAACCACGCTGCCCAAATAGGATACGGCCAATGGCGGTAGTCTGGACCTCGACGGCGGCAGCTTGATGAGTAGTTTCGGCTATGATAGCGAAATATCCTGCACCTATATGGACCCTATTGACCAAACATGAGATTAGTTAATGCTGGGCTTGGAGAGTCCAGACATGGTGGAGGGCATAGAGAGCGCGCAACTAAAAGTGGAATTGTATTAAATCCAAGGCATGGTCATCCATCTGTACGCTTGTAAGACGGTGTAGTGTAGCTAGAAATTCATTGGGGTAAACATGCTGGGAAGGTATTACATAATCTACTAAAATTATAAAACATCAAAAAAAGAAGAACTTTTCGAAATCTAAATGTCTTTTCTGAATGGGGCGCTTGGGGCAATTTGAAAAAACCTATGAAATTTTGAAATTTACTTTTTTATTTTAAAATTCTTTTCACTGAAAATGTTTTCGATCGAGAAATTGAATGCCTTGGGTTCGCATTGTATTAGCTTATATAGAGAGGAGTGACAAAATGACTCGCCCGCAACGAGTCAGAAAATAACGTGATTTCTAACATCAAAATTTGGAATATCTCCAAAGGAAAACGGACTTTCAATTTTACTCTAATCTTCTTATATTTCTTACATATTTATCCATATTATAAATATCGAAATAATCTTATTCAGGAACATTTGAAAGTTGTGAGATCTTTAAAAAAACTCTTGAAAGTTTTCAACAAATTGCAAATATACCCTCTATAAATGGATATTTTTTTAAGTAATACCACATATTTATGAAATCCTTACTGTTCATTGATTTTTACTTGCAAGCGTTTGTGTTGCTGGACCTTTTTTCTGGGAAATATGAAGTTTCTTTTTGCGTATGTGCATATTTATTTGTGAAATTTCAAAACATTTCGAGATATTCTGTATTGCGAGAATTAAAAATACAAAATATGGGAAATAATCAACAACAACTATTAGACATATTCAAATACAGTCATTAGAATTAGAAATCTATTAAGGGAGCTCTAAATAAAAGTCTTAATCCAGTAGTAAATGAATATCAATACATCCTAGCAGTGAAGTGAACTAGATCAAGTGTTGCACATACAACCAATATGGACGACGAGCCCAACTAGACCGCCAAAGAGTATATTCAATTTGTTTTGTCGCCTTTGGCTCTTTAAAATAATTAAATGCTTGAAAAATTGCATCATTCAGGCGACTAAGTGAATAGTTTCCAAAGTGAGCCAGTTTCAAGAAAAAAATGCTGGCTTAGAATCATTCAAAAAACTGAAAAGAGTAAATTAGATTAGTAGAAATAATTAATGAAACTTTTCCTACTAGTTGTACTTTGGGTTCTCTTCGGGCTAGTACCTTTTCAGTCTGGAAACTCTAGTTTCAGACTAGTTTAAGGCTTCACTGCAGGAACGTTACTGAGTAGGAACACTGACATACATACACATATACACGCACTTATAAACATTCTTATACGCATATGTAACTTTGCTTGCTGCATGAGACCGAACGTAATATGTATTCCCCTCAAATCTTCCACCTTAAAAAACATGCACTAACCAACAACAAACAACAACAATAACAACGATAAATGATAATAATTGCAACAACCACAACAACTGAGCAGAGCTGGAGGTATACGCACCCTGCATCCGTTGCAGCTGCAGGCTGAATGCACCGTAATACCCAGCAGCGGATTCCATCAACTGCCCGTCGAGACCGAGCGCATCGAGCTGTCCGAGGTGGAGTGTGATGTGGACACTCTGAAGAAACTGAAATTGGGTATGCGCTCGACGTTGTGGTCGAGGCCGTCGTCGACCACTTCACAGCTGCAGCTAAAACAACAGCAACAGCAGGAGACGCGCTGCGTGCAACAACCATCGCAAAAGACCCAACAACCAGCTCAGCCGGTACAACAGCAGCAACAACCACAACAGTCACGACAACAACACTCGCCGGCACCAGCCCAACAAAAATTGCTGAGTGAGAAGTCCGATTACTCGATATCCGTGTGAGATTAGAAGTTGCAGCAGTTTTAAGGTTGTGGTACACAAAGTGGCCACACGCCACACATAAAAGGGTTTGCTGCTCCATTAACGGTAAATTGATTAATTTACTGAAAATGTGTGACAAATATCGGTGTTTGATGAATTTTTCTTGCCGGCCACTTTATCCTGACCGGAGGGGGTCTCGAACGAGGTATAACTATCTGTAGTGAATGAGAATGTTGATGTTGTTGTTTTACATAAATACATAGATATGTCATCTCCTACGAACTTCCCACGCGCTAAGAGAACCCCATTTGTATCAACCTTTGACTCCCACGAAATTGCCACCCCCTCTCTTTTTCTCTCTGGAAACTCAACTTCACACGCCCACAATGGAATACAGATGAATTTAAACTTTCGGACAATCAATCAAAATTTCTACAAGACTTAAAATAATATATACACACACTAGACACTCATACACACACACACGCAAACATTTTACCCATTTTTGGTGATGCCGCATGTAAAAATCATTCCCACATCCCTGAATGCTTAACCAAACTCTCAACCACACCCTCCCCACCACCTACCCAGCGTTCAGTTACTCTTTGTATGTGTTGGATAACATGATAGTCAGTAAGAACAAAATCAACTTAAGGTTGTATGTGCGAGGTTTTATATAAATACCTTCTTGTATGTCCGACAAAGTTAAAGGTAAGTCATCATAACTGTTTAAGATTATGGAAGATACCAAAGAGGATCAAATGGAACGAAATTATAGAAATCAAAGTGTAAATATCCGTTAATTGTATATATGTATGCGAATTCATATTAGTATAATTTACTAATGCAGCGAAGAGTTGGCCTCAAGATTTCTCCGTACTTGTATTAATATTCCGGATCATAAGGTTGTTTAAAGCTAGAAGGCATTCGCTGCTAAAACACTTAGATCCTTCCCTCTCTCGAAGCCAACTGCTCGCGGCCATTTACTTATGTGTTTGTCAGAAGGTATGCTTTTAAAAACTTAACTGTTTATATTTGTATTTATAAATATGTATAGATTTAGAGGTTAAGTAATGAGATTTTAATAAGAGAATATGTTTGTAATAATTTGTATACTGACTGATGTTACAAAAGTAAGTTATTGACATACAATACGATTAACTAAATGCGCCAGTAATAATTCTTGAAGAACAGGACGTATTGTGGTGTTTGCCACTATCTTACTGTAACAAACTACTATTTACCGAATATGAAGTAATACTTAATACTCATATTTTTACCAGTCGAAATTCAGGCAACAACTACTCGTAACAAGTTAAACAATTTTCAATATGATGATTTATGGGAATTCGGAGAACTACTAGGGTCCTCATTTACATATATTTTGTATTTATTTTGATAATAAATATTTATGGAATGTGGAGCCATATATTCAGTATGTACAAAATATTGTAGATAAATATAAAAAGTAATAATAACATATTGTTAATGGAAAAGAGTTTTAAATTTTGAGCGCAAGCTGAAAATGAGACATGAGAAATGATTAACAGAATTGCATTTATTTATAACAGTATTCACACAAGCAATGTTTATACTTAAATATTTGAAGAACCTCAAGTTTCGAAATTCTTAAAACAAAAAACCTTTTTATAGAGCAAATCAAACTTGTATAATGCTGGGAAAAAGAGCAGCATTATGACAATTTAATATGCGATACAATTGAGAACGATCACTCCGAAAAAAAAAAAAGTACATAAACGATTTCTTGAATATTTTTATTTTGTCATAATAATATTTCGGAAACCATGTGCCAAATTCAAAATTTATGAAACAAAATACAAATTTAAAAATTGAAATAAAATATACTTAAGTTTAACTGTAAGTATAGACTCTAGGTAGTAAAGCATAAATAACGAAATACAAGGTATCCAAAATTATTCGAATAAAGTCTGTAGTTTTGTAAAAAATCTGTATTTTTAAAATAGAAAAAAGAAATTAAAATATTAACCAAAGTACTAAATAATCAAAATCGTGCAAAATGTATTCACAAAAATTGAGTAAAATAAATCAAAATGCTCGGCAACGTATAGAATAAAAACGAGGAAAGCGAGGTAAGAGAAGCAACTGCTCGAAAAGTGTGATGTAATCGCCTGAAATGCGCAAAATTCCTTGCAATTAGGACAGTCTAAAATTCGGCGGATATACTTTCAGAGTTACTTGCGTTCTTACACAGGTGTAGCTCAAGCATCAAGCCATCGTAATCAAAAAACAACAACAAATAAATAAAAAAGTGACGCAAAGAAATTATGAGAAAACTATTATCAATTAAACATAACCTAAGTAGTGAAGTATCTTTCGAAATTCAGCTAAATACAGTTACTCGTAGGTATATGTATGTAATTACAACAATATTGTCTGGTATAACATATAAATGTAAATATATTTATTTCTGGAACTCTTAATGTTTAGACGTAAACAATAGAACGAACTCACCTACAGTCCAAGCGCGGGATACAGTGTGTGCCAAAAATATTACTATACTTTTAATCAGCTGTATGTACACAATACTTTGCAAACACTCATAAATAACTATACCGAAATACAATACAAAAAACAAAAACATCTGCAAACAAACAAAAAAAACCAAGGCAAATCCATTAAGAAAGAAAGCAAAAGTTTCAAAGCAGCATTCAAAAGCCAAATTATTTGAATGGCCTCAGCATATGACGACACGATATGCATCCGTTATTCTGTTTCACAAGTTAATCACATCGAATTGTACGAATTTAGTATAATAAATAATGTAACAGAGGTGACAAATTTGTACTGAGCATAGAAACAATCGAAAGGTTTTTTTATAATTTAGAACGGGAATGATGCAATTCCAATTACCCGCATACTGTTATATAAAAGTAGTCATACATATGTATGTATATGTGCAAAATTATAATTAGTCTGAAATTAAAGTCAACAAATTATTTAAATTTATAAAGAAATACAATTTTAAATGATAATAAAGCAAATATGTGGCAACTTAGCAAAACAGACAAAGTAAAGTGAAAACTCGATAACCACAATCAAAATGCCAAGTAATCATAACTAGTGTAACGATTATTGATACTTGTGTAATGTACTATTTAAATATTAACTAGCACAAAATGATTAAAACATTAAATTGAAGTAACAAATTATATTAAATGTGTAAAATAAATTATACAATATTTAAAAATCTAAGAGTTGCGCTTCATTAAGAAATCAAATGAGTAAGTATTTTCGATTTGTCAACTTTTTTGAGTTAGGTTGTGTGGTTGTGATTTCATTTCTACTCAAAAATCTGCATTTCCACCATTCTCTTGAATTCCTTCAGAACAAGAAAACAACGAGCTGTCAAACTTTCATAGCAATTGTATACGTAACATGTCATGACGTCATAACGGAATCAGAAGGAATTATTCCTTCATGACGTCACAAACCATGTATTCCTTTGTAAATCGCTCCCAAAAATGTGAGCGATAAAACTGTCGAAACTTCTATTCTTTTCATCATAAGATTAAATGCAAATATTAATAAAGAAAGAGTATGAGCACAATGATTCACTAACAAAAAATGGATGGCAAACTCTCGCAAAACCCGTGCAAATTCTGGATTTTTGAGAAATTTGAAAGCATAAAGGATTCCACTCAGGATTGGGCAATCCTGTAATATCAACAGAGTTATTTTAAAACCTTCTAGAGCTGCGGTTGAAGAACATTTCCTTCTTTAGGAAACTTCAAGTTAACGGGGGCGATACATGTAAACGCCTGAATTTAGACCAATTTTTGGGAGGCTTATTTGAAATGAAAAAAAAATCCAATTTTTAAAATTTTTGTTTTTTCAAAATGGCCGCCGTGGCAATCGATCTCTTGTGGCTCTCGCGGCAAAAGGCATCAATTGGCTGAATTTTTAGCTTCAGTTTCAGCTATCTGAAAAAAAAAGGTTGGAGCTTGTTCATGAAACATGTATCTTCTAGTTACATAAAAAAAAATCAAAAACTGGCACGTCTCAGACCAAAAAGTCGAAATCTTCACCCTCTTTTCCGACATTTTTTGGGTCAAAGAGGGTAGTTTTTGGACTAATAGAAGCTAACACTTCAAAGATAATGTGTGCCAATTTTCATAAGAATCGGTTGAGAATTTTCCGAGTTATCTAGCCCGCCAGTTTTAAAAAAGTCGTTTTGAGAAAAACGCGATTAAAGTATCGACCATAGACGAGCGTCGAGTTGAGACGGAACAATTCAATGAGTTTTTTTCTTAATAAATAATGGGATTTTCGTTCTAAAAATTTACAGGCATTTTAAGATGTTCAACTAACTATGTATATTATACATGTATCGCCCCCCTTAAACAAGAAAAATCGTTATCAAGCTTATTGAATTATTTGAAACAAAATGTCGATTAGGCGCCCTCTATAGGAAATAAGTGACAACAAATTTTATGAGCTTTTTAACGAAGAACAGTTTTTCCGAATTCAATTATTTTGTTGGTAGCAAAGAATTAAGAATATTAACATTCTCCGCTATAATTAATGACAATGCAGTCTTTGTGAGGGCTACCTGTGTCCACCTGCTGGCCAGTAGTAATAGTATTTTGCACTGCCTTGGCGAAAGTATGTTAAAAAAATAACCGGGAACAGAATAGGCAGACATTCTCTGCTCCATTAATTTTTTGTCAAATAGAACCAGAGAATGTTAATGAATTTATATATCTTCTCTGGGTGTAGTGTCAGAGAATGTTGAAGAGTCTCTCTCTTCAACATTCTCTGGTAGTGTATTATAAAAAGGAAATTGTTCAATTAATTAATAATATTAAAAAAACCAGAAGAAATTAAAATAGAATGAATATGTAGAGCCAAAATGCTACGTTCATGTGTAATGAGCTCGATTATTCGGTGACTTAATTGCTTAGATTTCCACATTAAACGTGTTTTCCCTGGTTAGCTCGACTTACGCTCCAATCCTGTAATGCAGAAGCAGGGCCGAGACAAACATATATTTATTTTTATTAATTGGTAACGTTTTCTTATTATACTCTCGCAACCTGTTGCTACAGAGTATAATAGTTTTGTTCACCTAACGGTTGTTTGTATCACATAAATCTAATCGAGATAGATATAGGGTTATGTATATATAAATGATCAGGATGAAGAGACGAGTTGAAATCCGGGTGACTGTCTGTCCGTCCACCTGTCCGTCCGTGCAAGCTCTAACTTAAGTAAAAATTGAGATATCTTTATGAAACTTGGTAGACATGTATCTTGGTACCGTGAGACGGTTGGTATTGCAGATGGGCGTAATCGGACCACTGCTACGCCCACAAAACGCCATTAATCAAAAAAAAATAAATTGCCATAACTAAGCTCCGCAATAAGATACAAGACTGTTATTTGGTACACAGGATCACATTAGGAAGGGGCATCTGCAGTTAAATTTTTTTTTAAGTGGGCGTGGTCCCGCCCCTAAAAGGTAGACCACGGCCTAAAAGGGAGGACTGGAAGCAAATGTTTTTAGCACCTCTATTGACGGTGTGAAAATGGTAGAAATCGGGTGGCAACTCCGCCCACTCCCCATATAACGGTACTGTTAAAAAATACTAAAAGCGCGATAAACCAAGCATTAAACACGCCAGAGACAGTAAATTTTATCTCTGGGATGGTATGAGATGACTTTATAGGAACCGAGTTTAAAATTAGTCAGTGGGCGTGGCACCTCACACTTTAAGGTGAAACCCATATCTTGGGATCTGCTTAACCGATTTCAACAAAATTCGGTGCATAACCTTCTTTTCATATCTATGTTGGAAAATGGACGAAATCGGACTTTAACCACGCCTATTTCCCATATAACACCATTTTCAATTCCATCTGATTCTTTCACTTTCCACTATGCATATCAAGCAAAAATGATTATATCGGGGTAAAACTTTGCGTGAATAACACGTTTAAAGTGTGCCACCTTGTGATCAAAAATTGTCTAAATCGAACCAAAACTGTTCAAGCCCCTAAGTACTGAATATGTGGACCCCAGTGCCTATAGTTGACCTTCTACCGAAAATATCGGTCAATCCACAAAGAAATCTCAAACGAGTATACCATTTGACTTTGCGAGAGTATAAAATGTTCGGTTATATCCGAACTTAACACGTTTTCGAATAAACACGTTTTCAGCGCCGTATAGCATGACATGATGCGACACGTAAAACTAGTACTACGGACAATAACGCCATCTCTTAGATAAAAACCGAACGAACCTTTTACTTGACCAATATATAATATATCTAAAATAAAGAATGGTAAGCCTATATGGGGAAAGGTGGAGGGAGACGAGCAAAAAGTAAAATACTAAAAAAAAATTACATTCAAATGTATATTCACAACAACAACAATTTTTATGGTTGCGCGAAGAAGAAAAATACAACTATAGACACACGACAAAACAATTTACTTCATACTGCGAAACAGCGTAGTGCAACAACTAACAACAACAACTCGACAGCGCTGCAAAGAAAACAGACAGCAAATGTCGACAATGCGGAACCAGAGAACGTAATTCTCTTCAACATTCTCTGATTATACACCGTATATGAACGCGAAGAGGCAGTTTGCAACTTCTGTAGCAACAACAAAAGTACGCGTAACACAGACGTTTATTATGCCAAAGCGGAAATAAAGCAGAACCGTCGCGACAAAGTTGATTCGTAGTCAAACAGAAATAAAAAGAAAGGTCAATTTCGACGCTTTGCCTTCAGAGAGTACAAACTGTAACGTGGGGCGAGTAGTTCCCTTGTAATAAATGTAGGTGAACAACCCACTCTCAGAGAGGTTTAATGTATTATATAGTTAGTGTCTTTGTATTACCAGCTTTTCCAGCTTTGAGATGTTTTCACTTTAACATATTATCGATGATCGATATCTGTAGTCAGTTATCGAAAGCATTTTGTGATAGCTTCTAAAATAGTCATGTTTGTGGCACGGCCAAAGAAATGCGCCTTCTTTTACATGATTTGCTTAATTTACAGTTGCAACACAGACTTCCGGCCTAAATTTTGCGAAACTCTAAAACAAAAACTTATTTTGCTGTGCCATTTGCAACCGGCTCACAAATATGCTTATGTGCTTGACCAAGTCAAAATTTCAAAATGTGTACAAACGGAGCTGTTGAAAGCTGAGATTAAGAGTATGACCCGTTTGGGTTGCAAAAGTGACTGTCGAAATTTTCTTGGTTTGGTTTCACGGAATGCATTTGACAGATCACAATGAACTTTGCTATTGAAATTGCATTTAGAAACTAAATATACTTAAGTTTACATTTTATTTTGAAATTTAAGTTGCGGGGTTTGCAACGAAGATTTTATGAGCTTCCGCTTCCAATTATTCAATTATTTAGAATGATTTCAAAAATGTCAGCATTTGCGCTAACGGCATTTATATATACTTGTAAAGACTGCAATCCATAAATTGCCCAATTGCTTTCAAATATTTATTCTGAGTGCTTCCACGGCTTCTACATCAAGAAGAAGGAGGTTTGCTGTTTACCTTTGTAACTCATACGCCATGGTGCACAATTCAGATATGTAAATATTGCAACACGACAATGCGCCATTCTAAGATGATGATGACGATGAGCAAATAGGTGGTGTTAAAGTACAGTTAGGGGTATACGTTATAGTAGTTTGCGCGTTGAGCTACAATTGCGAAAGATTTTTAGAGCGGATTTACAAGTTCGCCCCTTTTTAAAATTTAATACATTTCAGGAACTCACAAACATTTGGTTTGTCTAATTTTTACGCATTTGTAATACTGTTGTCATTGAGCGCTCCCCTTTCTCCTTGTCTGCAGTTTTGGTGCTAAGTAACCGCGCAACAGCAACATTGGCGTGAATCACTTAACCACCGATGGATGAATCAATCACCTGTTGAATCAGTTAGATAGTGTAGAGAAGTGCGGCTGTGAAAATGGCTAAAACTTCAGCACTCGCTTACAAACCCTTTAATGCACCCAGATGTGGCATTCCCTGGCCGTTGTGCTGCGGTTTTCTGTGCTCGTGGCGAAAGTAGCGTTCAACCAACTTTAAGAGGTTCCCAGAGGTCAACGGCAGAATAAGAGTGACTTTGTTTTTGTTTGGACGAAATTAAATTTTGCACGCAGAATTTCAACGGCTACTTTTGGAGCTGTGAGGAGACTGGCACTGACAGAAATAAATATTTGCCCACTTACAGTTGCTTGGCTGCCTTCAGGCTAGCTGTTGCTAGAATTGCTGTTTCCGTTTGCATTCGCAAATTTTGGCAAAGTTTTGAACGTGTTTATTTCCTTACTGTTTTTGTAGTTGGATTTCGTTTACTTTTCATTAAAGTGTAAATGTGCTAGTCTGCTTTGCGTGATGTTTCTCATGAAGTTTCTTAAGCCTTATTGAAATTCGCTTCACTAAAAGTGCCAAATTGCTTAGCATCAGTTATTGCTGCATATAAACACAGAAGTTTCAATTAGTCTTTGTGAACTCATCTCTTGTTATTGGTTTCTAAGATACTTAAAAAACTGAGGTTCACTCATTGCAAGGTTCTTTGAAAATGCCGCTTGTTGCTTCTGTCTCTTTTTATGAGTGGAAGTTTGTTTCCCTACACACATATGCAAGTACATACATAGTATGCCAGTGCTCACGAAGCACAAAGCTTTAACGAATAAATATATAATTTAAATAATTATTGTACTTATTCCCGTTCGTTGCATAGTAGGCCCAATTAAAACACTAACTTCAAATGCATTTATCTCAAAAATGGCACGGCAAAAGTGTTGCCTGTTCGTACTAACACTTGCCTATATAATATATTTGCAGTAAAAATACGTATATAGCAAAATTATTATTTCCAATTGTAACTGTGTCACTTGGTCAAACAAATAAAATCAAATTAACTAAATGCTCATAATTTTGTTGCCAAAGTTTTAAGCAGCTTTGCTTTAAAAACTTAAAATTTACTTTTGCAGACCAAGTATTTATGCCTCCCCCAACGGCTATGGTGCGAATGTTTGAGCCAATTGAAAACACAACTCTTTTTCAAATGGTCTGCTTCACATGGCCCCCCCTCAAACGAAGAGGACTCCGAACTAAACACCAACTCAGAGCGTTTCGTTTGGGGGGGGGGGGCGGTCTTATAAAGTCTGAGACGAAATGCTGGTAATACTTTCACGACATTTGAGATAGAAATTTGGCATTGATGTTGTTGTCGAAGAGATGACCCCAAAGTTACGACGAAATGAAGGCGTTTTGAGCTTTGAAACGTGTATAAATTGGTTTATTATTTTCATGTAAATATCTTTTATTAGAAAAAGTGGTATGAAATAAGACGCTATTTCAACTTTGACATCTCAATTCGCTCAAAGCGCACACTCACACCCACACATAGCAATTCTGTGTACTTATGGGTTGGTGGTGCCACCACGCCACCACGCCACCCTGACGTGCGAGCATTTTATTATCGCTATATAACTATTTACATCCACTTCAAGACTTGTCCCACCAAATTTATATCCGCAAATCGTTAGCAACACTCCGATACATATGTATATACGTACATAAGTATATATGTATGCGGCATGCACATACTCTTCAACTCAAATGAAAATTCGTATCGATATTTTTAAATTTTCCACATCATTAGATTAACTCACTCGAGTGAATTTTTCATCTTTCGCGCAAGCCACAAACACTCGTTTACATATGTATATATCTTTGTCTATCTTATTGCAAAGTAAAACTGTATGTAAAATTGAAAAAAGTTAACCTTAATGCTTCAAAAAATGGGGATGTTATCTTTATGGATATGAGCTCTCTTAATTTTTATTTATGAAAAACGAAAAACAAAAAAAAAACAAACAAAATTTAGTCCTTCCTACTTCCTTTTGCAAAGATTTCCAAAAATATCAACCTATATTTTAACCCTGAACAGAGTATATTTGAATGCCGGATTCCTTGTAAACGAGCTGAGCCAATAAAGCCATGTCCGTTTGTCTATCTTTCTGTCCCACTGTCTCTGTAAATCTGTGAACACATCCATTTCTCCCCAATGAGCAGCTTTATTTTCTAAACACCAAATACTTACCATAATTACAATTTCCTAGGTTTAGCTTGTTCACCAAAAGCCTACGATTTTTTTACTGTTCCCAAAGGTAAATTCATTTTACTTGCCCCCTATTTAGTTAAGCTTCGGTGGGGCTTTTACTCAAGGCCATACAGAAAAATACTGTTAAGTTTTCAATATTCCCAAAGATAAATACTTTTTCCCGTTATTTGATTGACTGTTTTAAATTGCTTTGCCGGACTTTCTGTTATTCTTACCGAGTTCCTACTTAAGTACGTAGTTAATGTATTATAAATTAAATTAATTTATTTTTAATCGACATTTTCAAACTGTCAAAAACATTAAAGATTTTGGCCGAGTTCCTAGTTCTAAATTAATTGTGGACTTTAAGCCTCAAGCTTTATCAAACCGGGGAATTATGGCATTAGACGCATTTAATGTGTACTAAAAATTTTTTTATTTTATTTTTTTTTTTGGAAATTGTTATTCATGGTGAGTTGAACGTGCTTTTGGCAAACTAAGCTTACTCATTCTAATCAAAATGACTGGATCCTTGCTCTTAAAACACCTTTTTCATTAACTTCGACCTTAAATTATTGGGATTGAAACAGCCGGGAATTTTCGCTTCACTTTCTGTTTTATTTAAAGAACTTAAGTTTTTTGCAATAAATGTATTTCTAAATTATTTAACTAAATTATCTGCTAAAGTAATTAGAAAGCTCAAGCTTACATAAATTCGATTTTAGGTATGAAGCTAACTTAAATCTATTAAGGAACCTTGTTGAACTTTAGAAGGCATTCGTAAAGCGATATTTTCATAGTTTCCGGCAAAGTGAATAAAGCTAGTATGCCCAGGAGCATGCCCAGCGCCCCTATGATGAAGAAAAAGAGCGGTTCGTTGAAATCCATGTAAAATACTAGCAAAGCCAGCACTATTTGCAGGGATTGTTCGCACACCACCACCACCGCCAAGCAGCACGCCTTCGCAGAAACGGTAAATGCTTCTGACATATAAACACTGCTGACCATCGAAACGCCAGCGCATATGAAAGCCTGATAACACCACATCAGATAGACGACCAATTCGAATGTCAGGTGCGTCAGTAAAACCAACGAAATATGCACGTAGATATACTGCAGCACGCTAGCCAAGAGAAACGCGCAAGTCCCAGAGAAAAGTAGGCAAATAACAGCGATCCTTCGACGCCCATATTTGTCTACGCACAAAGCGCCCAAAACGCTGCCGAGCACACCGCAAAGAGACAAGAGATAAACACAGTTTATGGTGCAATTCAAGCCCGTCATACTTGCGGTGACAAATGTGCGATTGACGGGCAACGACAGCGAAACGATGCCATAACAACGCAGTAAGAGCACCTTGAGTAGCGGATGCGAGTTGGTCTTTCGCGCCGTCTGGCCCGCATCATGCTCCAGCATCTGTTTGCACTCCTCATGCTTTTGTGTTAACCCAGCGCTGGGGTAACTGGCGTTCTGGAGTCGCTTCATCACATATGTGGCGGCTAAGTCACGCTTTTGCATCTGCAGCAGCAGCGGCGACTCGAAGCGGTAGAGGGTGTTGCAGGCGAACGCACACAGTGCCACCAAGATTACCACAATGCCGTGTAATTGATTTAGGTGCAGCGGATAGCCCTTTGCGGGCTCGTATAGGAACCACAGTCGCGTGCAAAACAGCTGCAGACAGATGCCCAGCCAAAGGAAAACGCGCTCACTGGACACCAATAAGCCGCGAATGTCCTTGTGTGCTACCTCCCCGGCTGTCACGAGGCCTTGTACTTGATTGATGCCATAAGCGCAGCCTTCCAATAGGCAACCGCACAGTATGCTGGCAAACGAGGTGGGTATGCAGGCGAAGAGCAGGCCACCAAGCAGAAGGAGTGTGCCGCTGGTGCACTGAAAAGATAACAAAAGCGCCAAGCGATAAGGCAAATAGTAAATAGACAGTTCGCTAGCAAATATCGACAATGGTTTATATGCAAATTGCTAAAACGTTGAGGTATTTTGATAGATTCAAAAGCTCTTACTGGGTATTAAATTGATTAGGGCCTACTTAGGTAGCATTATTGATAAGTAATATTTATATCAAGTGGAAAAGTGATACAGATAACGCATTGAATACATTCAGATAAACGACTCAGTATGTGTAATTTACCAGTACTTTTAATCGATTTTCTCTACGGTCACACCCACATTTTCAGGACTTAACTGTTTGACTGAACCCGTTACAAGACTGACGTCGCGCACAATATATCATATTCTTTGGCCTTAAAAGCTGTTCACTACTATTTCTTCTATGGCTATCTTTGGCGCTATCCTGGATGATCTCAACGTATGTTGTGTTGTGCGTTAACGAAATAATAATTCGTTTAATAAAAAAGTTTGGTATAGTGACGTAAATATTCTTCCTCTAACGAACAGGAACCACTTAAAACCATTTTGTACAGCCTTTCAGTCAAATAATAGTATTTCAAAATTGTTTTTTATAGTTTATCGACAAAGTTTACTATTCTGAGCTATACATGATGGATTGCTGATAATGAAAGGTTGGCAATATACTCGTAGAGGTAACTAAAGAAAGCAAAATTGGTTCCTATATTGTATTTGAATTTGATAACGGTAAGCTTATCGCCAATTAAGTTACATTTTTCAAAATGAATGGTTAGTATTTCTGATAGAACCGAATTTAATTAGCCCTGGGTTGTTTTCCAAACCAGAATTGTGGGAACTAAATGCGGAATATTATTCCTCGTAAGCCATTTGAATTGTGTAGGTGTATTTAGGTACATACATGTGATATATTCTTGCTAACGCGTTGTACGAATCCACTTGCCATAATTGCTCCTGCAGCTACGCCAACAAACCATGCGATCGTCAGCAGGTGGGTATTGATAAGCTTCTGCGAATCGCTCACTGGCTTTTCAAATATACACCAAGCCAGCTTCAAGCCACCAGCGAAGAAAATAGCAGACGCTGTAAGATGAATACAAAAGTTTATAACAAATATTTTTCGAAATTAATGTGAAAAATATGTTGTTCATTTTTATTTAAGAAACCTTTTGAAGCTCAACTGGGATTTGTGTCCCACATAGATTTTGTGCTGTCACAGACTGCTTCGAAACGATAGGATTTGCTCAAAAGATTTACAGTTTCAATAAATTTTAATAATTTATCTTAATGTTCTCCATATGGATGTACTTTCGAATACCCGAATTTGTTGTAAGATCAAAGCTTTTTGGCCGACACTCAATACTAGAACAGTGCACGCAACCAAAACTCACCTGAAGCCATTGCCTGAAATTGAAATCGATAGCGGTAGAGCATACGCAGCCATGATTGTTTGCCCTGCTCTTCGATGCTGGGCGGCAAGGGCATCACGTATGAATTGTTTGTGTTGATTTTTTGCTTTACACTTTAACTTCGAACTGCTTTTCACCTGCTGCTACTTTGATAGATCACGTCTTTATTTTGATGAATTTTATTTATTTAGTTTGCAACACCTCGGATGTGTACTTATCGAAAACTGCCATTCTGGTGACTGCTATTAGATCTGCGACGGATTGGTTCGGACTCTTACCATGCAGTCTAAGTTTGGCTGCGATAGTCACTCAGCGGATGATCGTTTCGTTGGTTCAATGCCTGTTCGACTGATTCGCGACTGGTTTGTAACGCCAAAAAAGCGATTGCTGATATCGAAGCTCGCTAATACCAACATTTATTTGAACGAAGGTATGGACATACATATGTGTGCATAGCAGTCAATATTATCGAACGTCAATATTTATCAGCGATAAGATAATAATACTATATACTAAAAAACATCGTCGTTGAGAAACCGCAGGCCGGGTATTTGCTTATATTAATAGAGTACTGAAGAGCTCTGTCACACTTCTGGAGAGATTTTGGTGCTCGAAAAATACAAATGCTTGGTTAGGTAAAATACCACACAAATAACAGATTTTAATAAGTAGTTAGAAAAGTGGAAATCGAACCACAACCAACTATGTTATAGCCACTCGCAGTCGCATTTCTTACATATGCTAAAGCTCTTAATTTAATAAAGCAAATAGGATCTTAAGGTATGCCATATAATTCAAGTTAATATTTACAATTGATAGCTAAAATATATTAAAATTAAAATTGTTGAAATATTTTTGGCTTTAACTTCTAATCAAAGAAATAATACTTTTTTGATTAATGATGAATGAACAGGTTATATTTAGTTTGCCACGAAGTTTGAAAGCCTAGAAGAAAACCTCGGAGACGTTAAAAAGTATAAGTATAAGGAGGTTGAGTCGGTTTAGCCATGTCCGTCTGTATATACGCGACTGATCCGTCGTTTTTGAGTTATCAATCTGAAAGTTTGCATACTGTGCTGTTTTTCCAAAAAGCTGCTCATTTGTCGGAACCGCCTATATCGAACCACTTTAACATGCCATACAAATTGATCGATCAAAATCAAGTTTTTGCATAGCAAACTTTTTATTTAACAAGATATATTCACGATATCGATCAAAATAAAGATACAAAATCTTCATAAAATGTCTTTTTTTCTTTGTTAAGTAGCCTTAATTGGGCGTGAAGGTCGTGAGTAGAAGGAGCTAACAACACGTTTGATGCAAACCATTGACCGGTTACGTTTTCAGACTTAGTTATACATATTGTTTCTACGATTCCCTACACCTGTGAAGGGTATTATAATTTTGGTGCAGTAGAAGTTAACATTTGTTTATTTGAATATGGTTAATTGAATACATTTTCTGCAATGGATAACGGTGAAAAAGATAACGAAAACAAAGCAAAGGCTTTGATTGATGTTACGAGCGATTATGTGTTTGTGTGTGGAGCAAATTATATTTAAGTGATGTGGCTTAATGATATTACGAACTTCTGGCAGAACCCAACATTCGAAAGGATTAAGTAAAAAAAAATTGAAAAAAAATAAAAATTGGCAATAAGCAAGCTTTTTTAAAAACTTAAAATAAATATAAAAAGATTTACCATATATTTGCTTCATCTAAATTCTCTTAATTGTAAGACCAAGACTTAGGCTGCAAGACAACTTGATTTAAGGAGCTCGCTTAGAAAAATTATAAGGAGTGCATTCAATAATAGAGTATTATATTATTTATTTTTCAGTACAGCCTTTATTACTCGAATGTTACTTAGTACTAATTTACAAAATTTAGTTTAATCTTAAAGTACCACAATTGGTGGATTCCGTGATGTTCGCCTTTATGCGGCTCTTTGCTGGTTTTTATTTACTAATCCACTGCCTCTTGGTGATGTATTGTTGCTGTCCGCTATTATTGCTTGTATTGTAAACATGGTAAATGTTTATTTATCGTTTTTTTAGCTGCTGTGCGCTGAAAGAATTCACGGCTTTCAAGCCAATTTAGTAAGCTGTGTTCTTTAGAGTTTTTAAGTGAAATTTGTATTTTTTGTCTTTTTGGGCGAAGGTTAAAATGTGTGAGATTCGTTTTGAAAAAAATGAAAGGTGTCTAAATATTTTGCATACAACACACTTGAAAGGCCCTACTAATCTCCTTTGTGTACCCTAATGAGTCACAAAATCAATCATTATTTGCATTTACCAATTGAAACCGCTTTTATTTATTACCATAGAGCAACTCTATTAAGTTACACATGCTCTTAGATTATTTGTTATTTGTAAAGATCTTTTTTTCTGTGTATTATAGCGAGGCTATTTACTGCCTTCGCAAATCTCCGTTCTGTAATGCAAATTTTTAACTAATTTTGTAGCATTAGAAATTGACATGCATACATTGTGACCAGAATGTTTTCGAAAATTGTAAATAAAACGAAACATTTTTAATCTGCATCAATATTTATTTTGTCGCCTTCAAAATATGCTCCTTCTGAAGCGACATATGCCACCTCTTTTTCTAATCGTCGAAACATGCCTTGTAGGCGCTGTCCGGCATCGCCTTCAGTTTCCTCTGCGAATTCTCATTTACGGCCTTAATCTAGTCGAAACGGGCTCCACGAAGTGATAACTTGAATTTTGGAAAAAAAAAAAAATAGTCACATGAGGCCAAATCCCGTAAATGCGGTGGTTGATCGATGATATTGGACGAGTTTTTGGTATTAAAATCGTTCACAACTACAGCTCGGTGCGGTCTTTTTGCAAAAAATTCAACTCTTTTGGAACAAGCTGAGCATTGACGCGTCTTATGCCCAAATTATCGGTCAAAATCAAACAAGCTGCTTCACGGCCGATGTTTAGCTTACGTGCTATCTCTCTAACACTCGCATGACGACCGGAACGAGGCATGTGTTCGACGGTTTCTCGACCATCCTTAAAGCAGAGAATGTTGATGAATTCATTTACGTTCTCTGGTAAAATACATGATATACGTTCTCTGGTTTGTGCCTTGGTTGTAAAGCTTTCAAATGAATTGCAGCTATCCCCGAAAGATGTCGCCCACAAAAGGTATGCATGTCGGTTTGTTTTCAACTCATCCGTGAACTCGAGAGTTCATATATATATATATATATATATATATCTATATTCATATAGTTAAATAAATTTATGTTTATATGTATATAGGTATAACATATACATAATATAGATATTATACATATATGGCACATGACTGTGCTGTAGCTCATATCCATCGTCTTCCTTATTTTTAATAGAGTTTTTCCTTTAAATTTCGTGAAATGAATGACATTCTGTGCCGTTTTATTGGACTCTTTAACTAAATTTATATTTGAATACCTTACTATTTCTATGATTTTTTAATCATGTTGAAAATAACTCCAAAAAACACTTTAAAGCAGCGAAATCAAGTACTTTATTCACAATGCAATAATACCGTGATCGAATGACACTTATCTAGTGAAAATGTTTCTGAATTTACTTTGAGCTTCTTGCAATGAAACTTGCTTAGTCTCTGGTAGACAGAAGAAGCCTAAAATGAAGAACGCCAAATAAAAAAACACCAAATGTAATGAAGTATGTAGCCAAGCCGTCTTTATCTGGCGTGCATGCGCTGATAATAAGTAATACGAACATCTCCACGATGAAGGGTAGAGCAATGTAGTAGGGTTTCAAGTGCAGCGGAAATGCTTCCGTCAAATATGCTGAGGACGCGCTATTAACGAAGCTCGCAAACAGTCCCAACACGAAGAGCATATACAGTACAGCTCCCATTTTGGATGAGGAGAAGAAGTTGAAGAAGTCATTGTAAATGACGCCAATGGCGATCGCCAAGATACCGCTTAAAAGTGCGCCGATAAGAAGTGTCTTCTTGCGGCCAACTGAGTCCAGGCTGAAGGCTGCTATGCAGGTGCCTAGCCACAAAAACAAACCGTATATTAGCCAAGGCCACGTGACGAATTGTTCCGCATATACTGTAGATGCCCATAAAAGTGCTGCAGTAATGGCTGGCGAGAATGAGAGAGCAACCAGGCCGCGATGTAAGCAAAGCTTTACCAGTGCTGGTATGCCTTTATCGCCATTCGGGTCACTGGCTTCAATGTAACGTTTATGCTCCTCCAAGCGCTGATATGTTTCCTGTGTTACAACGAACGGACGCTGCAAACGTCGCAAGCAATCGATAGCCTCATGCTCGTTATTATGCATCAAATGGTGAACCGGTGATTCGACTACAAAGAAGTACGACATAACAAACGTTAGCACGGCGTAGATGATAGCGATGACACCATGAAGTTGCGTGGTTCCAAATGAATTATTGGAAGATGATGTGGTATGACTGAAAGAGGCCGCGAATACAATTTGGAGGAATATTCCGAGAGCGATACTGCCTGATTCAAGGATTCCGGCGCCCAAGCCGCGCCTTTCACTGTTTACCTCTTCGCCAATCAGCACAATCATTGGCACGAACACAAGGCCCACAGCGAAGCCATTTAAATAACGGGCGGTAGCAATCCCACCGTATTTATCAGCCAATGTCACGAAGAATATACCCCCGATCAAAATCAAAAACGCTGAGAATATCTAAAAGAGAAAAGAGACATTGTTAATAAGCCCAATTCCTTGCGTTTGTGTTGACCTGACATAAATGAGCTTCTTTAATACACGGTTAGTAATAAATGCTGAGACTGAAGCTCCAAAAATTGCGGCGACATACCAACATATCAAGATATGGGTATCTGTTGTGAAGTTCTGCACATTGTCAAAGCCACAGCTCCAAGCGATGTTCATGCCGCCCGTAACTAAAACGAATAGAGCTGAAAATTGACGGGATTAGATTATTAAAATCTGGACACAAGACTGTAAGAACAGCAAAACAAGTAATTTTATGTAAAACGAGCCTTGAAGAAAATGTGGAAGAAGGAAAAGTTTCGCAAAAATTAAAATTCAGTTTATTGGACCTTAATGGTTGGTCCTAACCTGTAAACCCCGCTTTATAAATAACACTTCCCTTGAAAAAGCAAAAATTATTACTCAGTCTGCAAATTCTATAGTTTTGATTTGCATATCGCACGATGTAGTATCAAGAAACTGACTTTTTGAAATCGATTCAAAAATCCAAAAATCTCAGAGATAGTCTTATCTGGTAAAACCAAAGATGATTTCAGAATATAATTAAAGCAACCACCCGTTTTACTTGTTACCTGTAAAACGTTTATAAAGGGGGAAAATCGTGTTTGTATTATGAGGAAAGTTGAGAGTTTGTTGGGTGCGTTCACTTTTATGCAACTTCAAGTGCTCATACGAAACGAATGTGTTAAAAAAAAACAGACATATATACAAGTTGATTTTGTATATAAAAAGGTTTAGATTTTTATAACTTGTATTCCACTTTCTGAAAATAGTGCAAACGACTTGTCTACAATGCTAATTCCCTTTCGTCGTTTTTGCATTTAATATTCTTTGCTCCCACATTCGTCGTTATGGACATCTTCAATCAAATAGTTGCTTCGCTGACCTTCAAGTATTCCAACTCCATAAATATGCTGACACAGTTTATTTTTAACGAAAACAACCGACAATTAAGCGCCAAAAGCAACAACACCAGCCTTCATAAACAGAATGTGCTCGTAACTTTACAGCACATACAAATTGTAAATGCATTTCATTTCTGCAAAGCTGTAAATGATAGCAGACTTATAGATCCCGTTTTTCACTCAGAATTAGAGAAGCCTTCGAATTAAAATGACGAAGACAAATTTTCGCTCCTATCAACACTCTTAATTAAAAGTATACTTGTATACCTGCTCCAGCTGAGTTCATTTGCGGCTTATTGGCTTGGTTGCGTGCGAACCAACCTTCCGTCGGCGGTATAGTTTGCTGGGGAGGTTGCGGACTGTAGCCGAAACCAGTGGCTGGGACAGGGTCTTCTACATGGATCGCAGCGGGAGTGGGCTGAGTTCCTATTGCACCATAAGTTGGTTGTCCACCCGTCTGGACAGGCGGATATGAGCCACGATTTTCCATATTTATTTAAAGCTTGTTGTTATTATACTCATTTAAAAATAAACGGGTTAATATGTAATTATTTGCCAACCGCTTTCTCGTATAGTCGCGCTCGTACTGATTTCTCGAAGTGGAAGCTCAGTACGTGCATACCAGCTCTGTGAAGTCATATGCTTACATGTTTCGAGTATGTGTGCGTGTTTGAGTGATATCTGCTAATATATATACTCATATGTTATACTGTCAATCCCTGAAATATTTATACCCTGAACAGTGTAAATATGTTCAGTATGATGAGCTGAGTGGATTTAGCCATGTCCGTCTGTCTGTCTGTATATATACGCCCCTCTCGTTTCCTCACTAAGAAGCTGCTCAACAAAACGGCCGATATCGGACCACTATAACATAAAGCTGCCATACAAACTGAACAATCGGGATCAAGTTCTTTGTATATGTGAAGCTATAATACCCAGCTTCGGTGCAACCGAAGTTAACGTTTTTTTCTTATTATACTCTCGCAACCTGTTGCTACAGAGTATAATAGTTTTGTTCACCTAACGGTTGTTTGTATCACCTAAAACTAATCGAGTTAGATATAGGGTTATATGTAAATAAATGATCAGGATGAAGAGACGAGTTGAAATCCGGGTGACTGTCTGTCCGTCCGCGCAAACTCTAACTTGAGTAAAAATTGAGATATTTTTATGAAACCTGGTAGACATAGTTCTTGGTACCGTGTAACGGTTGGTATTGCAGATGGGCGTAATCGGACCACTACCACGCCCACAAAACGCCATTAATCAAAAATAAATAAATTGCCATAACTAAGCTCCGCAATAAGATACAAGACTGTTATTTGGTACACAGGATCACATTAGGGAGGGGCATCTGCAGTTAAATATTTTTTTAAAAAGTGGGCGTGGTCCCGCCCCTAATAAGTTTATTGTGCATATCTCCTAAACCGCTAAAGCTAGTCAAATTCACTGGGAGCAAATGCTTTTAGCACCTCTATTGACGGTGTGAAAATGGGGAAAATCGGGTGACAAGCCCCCCCACTCCCCATATAACGGTACTGTTAAAAAATACTAAAAGCGCGATAAACCAAGTTCTAAACACGCCAGAGGCATTAAATTTTATCTCTGGGATGGTATGAGATGAACCGCGTTCAAAATTAGTAAGTGGCCGTGGCACCGCCCACTTTTAGGTGAAAACCGATATCTTGGGATCTGCTTAACCGATTTCAAACTCGGTGCGTAACGTTCTTTTCATATCTCTATGTTATATTGCGAAAATGGGCGAAATCGGACTACAACCACGCCTATTTCCCATATAACACTATTTTCATTTCCATCTGATTCTTTCACTTTCTACTATGCATATCAAGCAACAATGATTATATCGGGGTAAAACTTGGCGTGAATAATGCGATTAAAGTATGCCACCTTGTGCCCAAAAATTGTCCTAAGTACGAAATATGTGGACCCCAGTGCCTATAGTTGACCTTCTACCGAAAATATCGGTCAATCCACAAAGAAATCTCAAACGAGTATACCATTTGCTTTGCGAGAGTATAAAATGTTCGTTTACATCCGAACTTAGCACTTCCTTACTTGTTTTAATTCGTTTTTGTTGTAAATTAATATCTTCAACATGCCTACTTATCACTTTTTATAATGGGCCATTGCATTTACACCCATTCATACAAATATAATATGCTGATATGAGACTCTCTAAAAATCCATCAAGTTTTATTTTTGACTTACTCAGCGAATAAGCAACGACATTCATGTATGTATATACAGCTTGGAGTGTAAATATATTTATGATAGTTTATGATCATGATATTGGCAATATATTTTACTTTATTTTTTTAATTATTAGATTACTCCATGCTTAACTGTAAATAAAGTAAAATATCACTGATATGTTCAATAATACCGTTTACTACCCAATCCTTAACCCTATGACGCTACAGTCAACATAATGAAAGGGCTAACCGAGTATTATGAGCGCGTGCAAATATGAAAAAAAAATTCTAGAAATGGCGAATTTTTAAATTATTACTAAACGATGAGTTGAAGAATACTTAAGACTTGAAGAGTTCCTTAAATTATTCTGTGGTTCACCCACTCAGCTCAATTAAAAAAATATAATAATTGCCATCTTGTATCCGCAATATTTTTTCTCGCTATATTTAAACGCTACTCTCTTGTCAAAGAATCAAGGGTTGTAACTGTTTTCTTATAGTAGTACCTCAAAGTGTTGGTTTGTATAAGTTTTTCTGTCGCAAGTGTAAGATATTTTTTACTTTATTTTATTGTCTCAAATTGAAATGTAGGGCAGGAACACTTCTTGAAACTAAGCGGATACCAAAAAGCTGTTTTCCGCGAAACGTAGAATTACCAAGTTATAAAAGACATCGTTCGTATGATACTCTGATTTGTTCGATTCGCGACTCTCCAGTGATTAGCTAACCGAAAACAAAGTATATTCAAACCACATAAGATTTATTCCCGTTCTATTATGCTTTTAACAAATAGTTATGCATTTTCTCTTCTCACTGCTTTTCACGATATATTATATATACACATATATATGTATATACAAGTAAATAGCAAAAGTTCTCACTTTAATTGATTAATTTTTATTTGAATTCATCATTGCAATATCTCTTACGGTCTATTCTTAAAACTATGAGACATTTACAGTTAGGTAATTATTTTTTTCGTTTATTACATTAATGTAGTGAATCTATTATTACTTAACATATACATACATATAAACAGTTTTCATATACGCCCTTCATAAACATATTTTAGCAAGTGAACATATCTAGCTCTTAAGCTACATATCTAGGTCCTAAGTAATAAGTTTTACACATGTCCTTTTTTAAATATAGTAGCTTATTTTTAACTTACCTATATTGTTATAGGTACTTACAGTTATATATATATGTATTTACATATATTGGGAAAATATTCTGTTTCTGAGTAATACTTTTATATACAGAACCTGCTCAGTTGAGAATTCAACTACTTATTAGAAACTAGAAGGATAGTAGCATACTATATGTATAAAAACACTTATATATATTTAACTACACTACAATGGATATATGATAAATAGCTTTAACGGGTTAACGGATTGAATTCATAACTTTTTCAATAAAAATATTGTATTTGATTGGAAACTTTCATAAATGCATTTAAAGATAACTGCAAACTTGTCGCTGTAATGAAATATATTCGGGTGACAAAGCGTCATTATTTTCTTATGGCCATTTCACATAGAACTTTTGTTTCGCTTTGTGCCAGACATTTGTTTTGACAGAAAGGTTCGATGTATGCTTTCCTATAAGTACGTTTACATAAAAAGTTTTAGACGCGAAGCCAAGAAAAATGTTGGGCAACTCTCATCTTTTCACGCATTGCCACGCAACAGTCGCCATTTTCATTAGAGTGAAACACTGAAAGCAAAGCGATCATTGTGGCATACCCTTCGTTTTCTGCGCCTCGTTGTTTTAGTCTCTAACATCCTTTACCTTTAGTCAATTTTAATTTATATTGTTTTAAAATTTTCCATCCGATTCAAAAATGTACTGAAATTAATCGTTAAGATTGTAGAACAATAACATATTTAAATGACTTTCATAACCCACTCTCGCGAGTACTGCCGTCTCAATTATAACGGTTTTCTCAATTTGTGATCTTCCTTTCACAAAGAATACCGAACTCTTCGTTAACGTCAAACGAACCGGATGTCGACATCAATAACGATACCACAACAACTAGTGAATTGAATGTTGTGAATGTTAAATTGTTAGAAGAAAAGAAAAAAACTTTAAAATTTTCAACAGATCACTCATGACAGAAGAAAAAAAGAATAGGCTACAAAGTAGTAGGAGGGCGAGGCGTGGTGAATCCTCATGGAGAATCCTTACATTTTCAAAAGTATAAATAGAGCCACATTAAGCGAGGTCCGTTAGTGAAAAAATTGTTAAAATTATCTTAATTTTGATTTATGAATTTTTAAATTTGAATCATTGAATGTTCGGAAGAGCGCGGCCTTCTTACAACCATAAAATCGTATAAATATATACACACTTACGAGCAATATCTACACTTAACGCTAGTTACTGCTTACTTCGCAACAAATTATAAATGGTTCTAATTTTTTATACAGATTTAGTTAGATGCTTATTCAAAGGTATTTTATACCGCTTCAAAACACTTTTAGTTGGATAACTTTTAATTAAACTATTTCATTACTGACATTACATCCTAATTACCGCCCGGCGTTCGGCAGCTTACTCAAATACTTATGGTTTTATGGATTTGTATTTCTTTACTTTGAGCATGGCTAATTCTACTACATAGATAAAATATACGCACATGCGCATACATACATACTTTGTAATTAGCCGACCAAAGTTTTATAAATTTCACTACTTGAACTGTTTAGAGTACTTCGCCCAGTCACCATTACAGGCACGCCAACATACATATGAATGACTGAGGCTCAAGCAAGCCTACTGCGCCCTACTCATCCTCTCTAGAGTTTGTGGCGTGCGGTGCCTTCGCCCCCTCCCTCTCGATTAGTTTATCACCGCGAAGTTGATGTCGTTTTTACAAGGGCGCCAAAGTTCACTGTCTGCGCTCTGCTTTGACGTTGCATTTGGTCTGGTCGTTGTTGGCCAACGCTAGCGATGCCGCGCTGCATCAGCTGTTCGGTGGGTGGCGCCGCTAAGCCGTCAACGGTTGTCACATTGCTGCAATGCAACAACGCCATCGCAAGCAGCGCTGCAATGCTGCTGCCAATTTGTGGATGCTGTTGTTGCTGTTGTCGATGTTGTGGTTGTGGCCTTTGCTGTTGCTGTTGCTGGAGTGGCAGACACTGTGCGGGGCCAAGAAGTGGGTTCAGCGCTACTGTACGCGGACGATTTCTGCTTTGATCTCTGTTATTGTGTTCGGTTATATGGCCGGCATTCTTGCAGAGAAATGTTGATATTTGCAATAGAATGAAAGCGCCAACTAAAGCGCTGATTAGCTTGGTCGGCTGGGCGGCGGCGCTGTGTCGAGCAGTGGGCGCCGAGTTGGTTTGCATCGCCTCTGGTCGCTCACCTGAAAAAGCATAAAAACAGTTAGACTGCTGGCAAATGCAATCGAAGTAGGGTACAGTGGAATTTAGTAAAGAAATCCAAATTTACATATGCGACTCCATATATGCGCGAATGGTTGACAAAACTACTCTCAGAGTAGGAATAAACAATTCAAGAATCTCTCTTGGTAAAACGACACAAGCATTGAGCTCAGCAAGACTTTAAGTTAAACCCAATTTGTCACCTCGCATTTGTATACATATTTATATCTGTACTTGCATAACATACTTGTAAATGTGTACGGCTTGAAGCTACCGGGCTTTGAAGGATGCTAAACGAAACATCTGGCATAATGCTCGCATTAACGACGCTAAATATGCAGAAAAGCAAAGTCGGCATGATCTGCCTAAATATATATATGTATACAAGTATGTATGTGTATAAATAGATGTACACACCTATCTGCGGATTTCCTGCAATCCCTTCTTCTAAACCTTCAACATTTGAAATTGATTTCGTATTTTACGCCCAAACCTTTGCTTGTAAATCACCCACCTAAAAATGTGTGCCTTAGTTCCACTTTTAGGTAATGTTTTAGATATAACTTGCATAATTTGATATGAATCGTATGAGTAAAGATGCTAATTTAATTCAGAATTCACTAAACATTGCCTTAACTACTATTATAGATCATAAACCAGAGTTTGAACGCAATATAAGTCTACTACGAAATGAAGTTATGTGATTTGGGTATCAGTGTGGAATTTTACAAAACAGATTAAACGAAGAAACTTCCAAAAGTAACAATGGAATTGGTATAAATAAATGTAAAAGATGAAATAATAAAATTTAAAAACTTCCTGCCTGATCTCGCTATTTCTTCTTTTAGTCATGTTTCCAATAATGTTTCAGTGAAGGTGTGTTCTATTCTGGAGAAGCAGTTTTAAACATCATTTAATCAGAGATTGATATTTATTTATAGATATGAAACTATGTCTTCACCGCTTTGGGTACGTACCCTGTAACACGTGGACCCGCAAGCTTGCTATCTCGGTGTTCGATGGGTAGCAAGAATATTTGCCAGAATCTAGTAGATCAGCATCATTGATTAGTAAAATAGATTTGGTTTCCTCAGATTTGATCGTTTTGAATTTTATGCGACCTCCAGACGTCTCTTCCGATAGAACCTGTAAAAGATAAAAGGAAGCATAAACAATATATGGTATATAAATACGAATTTTCATCATGTATATATATATACTTATATATATTTATGCTTTGCAATGACACCGGTGTATCTATAAATGTATTTATGTAAATCAGTAAATGTGTAAATGGGTTAGTGAGCTTGTTTTGTCGTAAAAATGAGAAATTCAATTCTCGCATATAAAACTAAACCTCTTTTTCCCTCGTAAAAACATTATCAATACCGTTCGGAAGCATTTTAGCACTTTTACATTCGCTGCGGCATTGTTACAAGTCTCTTTCTTCCACTCCTCCTATACGCTTATCCACGAACAGAAGCCTAATTTTCATGGCGGGGGTTTGTTTTGCTTACAACAAAATACATTTGGTTTCAAAAATTCATTTCAAGTACAACTAGCTGCACAGGATAATTCGCCCGAACACTTCTAGACGGTTGTTTCCTAACTGAAAATGGTCATTAAAACTGGGTGGAAATATTTCGTTTCGCTATTCCATGATACATTTGGGCGATAACCACGCCCATCCCCCTTATGAGGGCGAAGTTGACTTGACCGATTTGAGCCGGTTTGTAAGATTTACATACATTATTTTCAATTCGCACGTCTTCGTTTAATCTACAAATAGTTGACTTTATACAGTACATATTGTTCATTCTATTCCGTTATGAGTCCGTTACAAATTTCGGCGCATCCAAACTGAGCCCATCCCTACTTGTTTTCGTTTACTTTCGCGCTGTTTTCTTTACCTCGTTGTGTATGTTGTACTCGTATTTCTATTCTCGCTTTTGGTTCAGTCAGCACAACAAATACGATGGGATCTGCTTTTAAAGTAGATTTCCTTGATTCTCCCGCAAACCACTTGCACCCCTTTTCAAGTTTCAGTGCTGCTTCATGTCTTCCATTGCATGCGGCAATTGCAAGTGGCACGCTCGTTAAATCTGAGGCACGCTCCGGGCGTTCAACGTTCATGTCCTGAGCATGCAGGCGTCGCCGCGTATCAATTGCCACGCTGCCACTAATACAATTTTAAACGAAAATCACCGCCAGCTCTCAGGCGACGATTTTCCTGCATTCTTCGCACACGGAAGTGGGCGTTCGTTGAATGAAATATACAAGTATATAAACACACATTCAAACGGTGGCTTCGATGGCAACTGCGACAGCGCGGCTCTGAAGAGTTCGACTGGCACCGTCTGTGCACATTGCATGCTCCTGTCCTCTTCGGCGATAATAAATGAACTGGGTATGTGTGATGTTCGATAAAGAATTGCCGCGATAAAAGTTCTTAAAACTGGTTACATGTTTGTTCCCACGCAGCCGAACACGCGCTGCTACAAAGCTTTGTACGGTTTTATTTTAGCGCTCCGCCGGCAGTGCGGTACTTGAACTCGATAATTTATTGGTGAAATTTTTTTGGTAGCGTGCCAACATGAAAACTATGCGTTCAATGTGAGCGAGTGTGTGTGAACAGGAACCGATTCACCACTTTCGGCAAATATTTTGTGTCGAACATAAAACCCGTCGAATATTGAGCGTTAAGTAAATATGCGGCAATATGCTTCGCCTCGTCTTGAAGCTCTTGTGAAGCTCCTTAATTAACTCCACTGAATTCGCCTTTCGTGAGGGTTCATTTGCCTCGTGCAACATATTAAGCGTTCATGGAAGCCCAACATGTAGACAATAAATTTTGTAGATTTTTAATTATTTATTATCTCTTTGTTTAAGAATCGCAAAAAACGTTTTTAGTTTTGTGAAACAAGTGTATATAAATATTAGCAATGTATGGTACTTACCTTGTCTTGATGATACCAGAAAATGTGCGTCGGTGGCTCGGGGCTGAACTTGATTACACAAGTCAGGTTGATTGTGCTCCCTTTATCCACGTACAAGTCGGGACCACCCAGTATGCTTGCCGTTGGCACTGTTAACGGTTGAGGGGCGAGGGGGAAGGCATGATACCAGAAAGAGAAAGACAAATTAATATTCGAGTTAGTGATTATTGTGCATGCATGCAAAATACAGGTATTTTAGTGTGTATCGAAGTACTTATAGGCTGCAAGCACTGTTTCTGGTTGTCTGCCTCGGCACTACACCAGATACATTTTATTTATGTAGTCTAGCAGATGAACAGATGTTAGCAGCAGAGTCTATTGCCTATTTTAGTAGAGCAACAACAACTGGCGATGTTTTGTAAGAGTTCCAGCACAACAATAATAATAACAATAACAACAGTAACAACAACAACAACAGAGTTTCGATTATTCCTTGAACTGGCATAAAGCGCATTACTTATGAAGTCGAGTGAGCAGCATATGTTGCTGGTAGTTTATGAAGACATGTGTCTGCCGCTCTTACGCTCGTACTTGTGCATTAACGAAAAAGCTTTAAGGAAGTTATTGTTAGCTGATATTATGGGGAATTTCGCATGCAGTTATTTTACTTTATTTAACTGTTGGTTAATATGGCTGTGTGTATAAATTAATGTTCAATTCAGCTTATGCTGTGTATCGATGAGGATTTAAGGATTTCTTGAAATTTACTTTCTTTCTAACTTCCGTTACTTCTGTAACAGTGAAGTTGTGCTCTTGTATCTATACTCTCTGTGTGATCGGTGGTAAAATTGAGTGTGTGCTGTTTATGCAATATATACAAATACAAGGGGAGTTTCGTAACCGATTGTTCATACTAAAATCCAAAAAATTAAATGAAATAAAGCAACTTATGAGTACGCACCTTCCACACATAACTAAATATTCATTCATATATTCTTGTTTTTTAACGGAACTTAGTTACTGACGCTTGCAAACCAATTGGTTCGATATTGTTTCGAACGACCACACCCACAGGTTAATAGCAATTCGATCATAAATATTTAACTTGCATTTCCTACCATTATGCATGACTAGTGTTATTATTTGAGCAAGCGTATACTTACGTTAACTAAACAGATAGCGGTACGCTTGCTGATATTGCTTTAATTAACCTGATAAAATTTAATAACATACATTTTATTATACGTAAAAAGCGCCCTCACATAGTGCAGCCGTCAAGCACCTTGGGACTTTCGGTATTGAGCATTAAAAATTTCGTTGTCTAGAAAACTGTTTCCTATTATGCAATCCTTAAGCAAAACGAATATATACTTTGTGTGTGCCACCGCGAGTAGCCTCGTCGTATACGCAACTTTATTTATGATGCCTGCAAGAGGGCGTTTCTCGATATCTCAGTAGCACGGGCTGTTTAATGTTGCAATATCAAATTGATTTCGTTGTATTCAACATTCCTTTTGGTCCCCCATTCACTACCCGACAACCCCAGACACCGATTGTTAGAGCTGACTTGCCGTTGACTGCAAACACCTCACCAATTCATATCGACAAACATAAGAGTGGGGGCATTATCTAGTTGTGTGGCTGATCAGTTGCTGATTGCTTCGAAGTGCTTTTGTATGGTAAATGCAAATAAAAGGCGAAACAGATACTTGTATGATTTTCTATTCCGGTTTAATTGTTTCTTGCTGTACCAAGAGTTGTCTGTTTCCATTTAATTCCAAAACCATGTGGGTATTTTGCTAGGTATGTTGCACATTCCCTGGCATATATCTGAATCTTGATCAACTTTTACAGGATAATAGGTACGCGAAATCAATATAACAATGTTGTTAACTGGGAAAAGGTTAAAAAACAAAAACCGAACAACAAAAGCGGCGATAAAACTCAGTAACGTTGGCTTTGCCACTTGCGAACTGTAACTGCTCAGCGACAGCGGCCGTAAAAAACTTGTAAAATTGTAGTAACTTTTTGCCAACTGCCAACTGCCTGCTGCGGGGCGAGGCGCCGTTGCCATCAAAACAACAGAGCGAAGCGAATACGCCTCAGGTTTGACTCCAACTTTGCAAAATTTGCTGCAAAGAGCGAACGAAATGCCTTTGTTTGGCTGTGTGCCTTATAATTTTCTGCCAGCCACAATAAACACCAACTACAGTTCGGTTGTGCGAAAGGGGCGGGACTCTGCTGTTATCAAAATGTTTAAATGCTTGTGAACGCACTTTCGCCCAAGGCAACGCTTAACTTGGCGATATGTCCGCCCAGATGCATATAGGAAGCATACTCGCTTACATTCTCTGCAAGGTATAGTTGGTGTTATCACTGGCCTTGTATGTAACACTAGACTTTGTGTGGCACACTATCTAAACGAGCTCCACCGATTCTGTTGGCATTTATGTTCGCCATGTGAAAAACTTTTTGCGCCATTTACAATACTTGCACGCCCATTCAACTTTTGGTTGGACAGTGTAACTGTGTTCATTTAAAGTGCCATGAAAAACGCGGAAATTTTGAAGACAAACCAAATCCATGGTGACCTTGACTGCACTTTTTAGGAGTGTGAGAGTACAGAGGATACCACTTCTGAGATGTGTAAACTTAAATGCAAGCCCATATTTCTGAAACTTGATTATTTGAATGAACCCAATTATTCTAAAGGCAAATCTTTGTAAGTGTCTTAATTGCTGCTAATTTACAGGGTTCAGTTACGTACGTTCAGTTTAATAAATAATAATCATGCGCTGAGTATCTAATGCTATGCTCCACTCGAATTCATAACGCCCTTACTTCTTTAAATTTATGCGCTGACAGATTTTGGTCATTAAAATCTCATTAACTGCACTTGTTATTGTATGTGTGTATACATATGTGTGGCAGGGCGTTTACTACACGAGAAGTGTGGATTAAATACATTAAGTTGCAAGAGTACATCTTAAACGGAATAAGTAAAAGTAAGAGAGTACTGCAGCTGCTGGAGAGCTCTGCGATTCTTCTGCTGAGCAGCTTGGCCATTTTATTAAAAATAAATTTGAATTTGCATGCAGAAAACAAATGATATATGCGACTCGGATTGATATCGGAAGTGGCTGTGCAGCAGGCGGTTTTATCCAGTCGACAACACAGAATTATGATTTGATTGCAATTGTCTCCCGATTACTCATACCCGACGTTCGCCTCGATGCACAGCTTGCACAAAGCCATGCAGCGAGTGCATTGTACCCACTGGGACCCCTTCCGTGGGGAATCGGCATAATTAGATGTTAATTTGTTGCCGACTAAGCACTTGTACACACACATACACGGGCATCCTCTCAGCAGCACATCCGTTGCAGCTGCCGTGACAATCATTCGCAGCAACGACGGCGCACACAACACAAAATAACAACACGCAGCAGCTGCTCGGCGGCACATGTTCGTCCTCATAATTAATTTCTGCTTAACAAGTGGCAGCGCCGCCATGGAGAGGGGCAGAGCTGCTCAACATATCAGTTTCAAACTTTGTCCTGCAAGTGACTGCATTTAAGCGAGTAGCATGAAAATAAGCACTATTTTGTGCCGTTATTAGTTTCCAGCGTTTTATTTAATTTCATTACAAGTGTAAAAAGTTTTAATTCGGTTTTCACTGCTCAAACAAAGTGAGTGAATAATTAAATTGAAATTGTATAATCCATTTTTTATTGACTCGCTTATTATAATGCTATAACGGTAATTACGATGGAGTTGAATTTCCAGTTTTTCATTGATGCCATCGGAAGGAAGTGTTGAGGATGAGCAAGTGTGAAATAAATACAGTTACATTTCGATTAGCAAATACTGCTAGTGCGCGCAGCTTAACTCCAGAAAGCACAGTTATCAATTCAGAAACAAATAATGTTCCTCATAAATTTGCTCATTCATTTGACAAAACTTCGCCTAAAGCTTAAGGAAACGACAAGTGCAAATGCCTTTCCTAAACTATGCTCATATACAAATATCCAACAAAATAACTGTAATCAAATCTCTTCCAAATGCATACTTGGAAAGACAAATAATAAGCGACTCTGTTGACTTTCGTGCAACTTGTTAAAGAGCTTAGCATTGTTAAAATTGCCAACTTTGCTACACACATGACTGTTTCGCAATGACTTCCGTTACTCAACAATGCATTATATTTGTAATGAAATTTCCTTCTTGAGCTGAAGCTGTAAATTTAAATAATTATTAATTAAATTGTCGCCGGCAAAAGTGGCAGTTTAGTTTCAACTCGACAGTGTTCGTAGGTAAAACTGCCTAGATATGCGATTGTGTGACTAAGGAGTGGTGAAATTGCACATCCCGTTAGACGACGGACCTTCTGATTACATATAGGGTATGATTTCGGCATTTGTATCTTTTATGCGAATGTGTCTGATTAAGTATGTCTGCTCGTTCGTACTTAGAAAGCCTTGTGATAGTATGCGTGTGCGAGTGTGTGTTTGCTTTCAATATAATTACAAACACAAATACACACTTGCAGTTTTGCAACTTTGCTTTTGTTGGCGTTGCAAATAAAACGGGAAAATCTAGTCATCTTTGTGCTGGCGCATAAGTGTTTGTGTGTGTCTGTGTACAATATGGCAGTTCTGCAGTTTCACAACTTTAAGTATGACTGCAAATTCAAGTAATGGCGTGAAAGCATACACACACATACGCACTCAAAGTGCGGAAGGGTAGCATCTAACTCGGCTGGAATCGCGACTGACACTGATGCAGGGTAAGCCGTGGAAGAACTCTTTGCTGTATAACTTTTGTTTGCCGGCGCATGGATCGAATCTTACGGTGTTGAGATCAAACAGATCAAACACTCATCCCCACGTCTTCGAAAGGTCTCTTGAGTAGGGGGAAACAAATGTGTAATTACTGAAATGCTTTCACAAAATCATTATAATTTATTGCACTGTGCACATTTCGAAAAAAGTAGTATATCATATACGAAAATATTTAGCTCCGAATAAAGTTCAATAGAATGCAAAACAAAGTTTGTGCAATATTTCGGCATTGTGGTAACTGCTTTACACTGCAGACAGGTGCAAGCAGGAAAACATTAGAATTTTTTGAAAGAATATTAGTGCGGTGGGAGCGGTCTGAAATCCTAAAATGTATCACATCAAGGGAGGATACATATATGTTTAGCGAGGGTTTTAAAATGGCAGTTTGATAAGCTCTTTTGGTAGCACTAATCATACTAATCTGATTTATTTTGTCTTCACTTAATTCGTATATTTATTTGAATTTAAAAAAAAGTATCATTTAAAAAAAATAAAAAATAATTTTGAATTGAATCTGATTTTAATATAAATTATAAATTCCGGATATAGACCTGCCCTAAAGAAGCTTCTCGCACCAACTGTGCTTAGTGCACATACATGTGGAGTGTTAACACAAGAGTGACTCAAACACTCCGAACCCATTGACGCCGGAGCGACTGCACTGGTGTAGTGCTGGGAAGCTCTACTCAAATTGAAGATAAGTCAACAAATGCCGCCAGTGCTACACAAACACACTCGTACGCACAGCTGTTTGCACGAGTGTTCAAATATGTCTGTGTGTGTGGTGCAAAATGCAGCATGACATCATTCACACACACACCATGCATGAATGTGTGCTTATGCGCAGGCGTAAATATTATTTCGTTAATGTTCTGGGAGGCCATAAGCATAAGCATATCAAAGCAGTGCTGTGTGCTGCAACTTTAAGAAACTTCAACCAAGTCAAAATAAACAGGCAGCAACAAGCTTTCGGCGACATCAGCTGCAGCGTCTACATTTTCTCTCTTCTTAGCTAGTTAGGGAAATGCGTTGGTAATATATATTAGCGTAATTTGTGCATTAGTTGCGGCAACAGATGTGCGCCGACGGCGGTCGATTGCAGCGTGCAACATGCTACACGTCACGCTCGCTCCAACGTTAACGCTGAGTGATATGTGTTGCAAGAACTTATATGCATCGTCCCACATTCGCACAAGGCGACCATGCTGCAAAGCAAAGCCAAATTTTTATATAAATTTCTACTGTAGGCAGTTAAGCGGACTTGCTTCGCGGCGCAGTGGCAGTTAGTTTCGCCTTTTTGGCGTTGAATGGCTAATAATTCTAAGGGTGGTTAGCGAGCGCAGGTGCGGCTGTTACTTTAGCTCCACATATGTATGTAGGTATGCATGCACGAGTACCAACCGGCCACTGTTTGTATGTGCCCGAACATGCCCGCAAACTCGTCGTCGCTGGACTGGTAAATACGATCGGAACTTATGTAAAATGCATCGTCGCTGTAGTACTGCTGCAGCAGACTGCTTGTCTCGTCGTCGATGGTGTCTAAATAAAACAAGAAAAACAAAACAACAAAAAAAAAAGATGGGCATAAAGTGAGTGCTCTGTAATGGTTATGATGATGGTGATGAGGAAACTGTGATGATGGTTACGCCGTGAGTGCTTCCATGGAAACATATGTAAATATTTGACTAGAAAACGCCAGTAAAAGTATGAAAATAACTTATGGTTTGCTCAAATAAACAATAAATATAGTAAAAGGTAATGTTCCTTATGAATTATGAAAATCAAATATAATCAAGAATTCACATAAGTGTATATTTCCAATTATGTTTGGAAGAACGAGTTTTGTTTATTAACCAACTAAGTTGGCGAATCCTGCCAGCTATGGGCTTTAGTACATGCGATCTGCTCGCAGGCCGATACGTTCAACTTTCTGCTCTCGTGTAAGTATCTCTATTCAAATTTTCGTTTTGATGCAAATTGTGCTTCCGTGCTGCCATAAAAGTGTTAATGGGAAAGTTGCTCGTAACTTCGATTTTCAGGCTGAGTGCATCTGCTGTAACCGGTACTGCTTATGTGGAGAATGATCAACATTTTTGCACATTTACATGCAAATAATTACTAATAACTATGGGAAGAACAAAAATTTAGTCATCGCCTTAGCAGAGCTCCCTGAATGCAGTAGTAAGCAAACTTCACGCAGCCATCTCGAAAGCAACGAGCGTAAAAATGAGTTATATTCCAGCGATGCACACACACGCTGCGTGATTTTGTCATTGTATTGTGAGTTCAACATTTCCAAGTGGTTTTCACTTGTAACTTTATGCAAAACAAGCGTGACGCTCATTACAATAACAATGAGCGGTCCCACTAAGTATATAAATATTATTTATGCGACGGCCCACATAAAGTGTGTTTCACTTGTATGTGTGTAGGTGTGCGTGAGTATAAGAGCCTTAGTTGGCAACAAAATTCTGCTTCATTTCCAACTTTTGCTTGTTTTGCGCCACAATCATTACTGTTGTTTTTGCTCTGCTGCAGTTGGTCTTTTGCAACTTCATCCCACTGATGATGCCATTGTTGAAAAATGTTCGCTGTTCTACGTGCAGTCGTGTGTGAGTATTTAAATATGTATATTTTGTTTATTTACTGCTGCTACAGTCGAGTGAAATTTTCATTGTAAATTTTGTTGAAATGTAATTTTATTTACATTGTTGTTGCGGCAGTAGATGCGGGGGAGAAGTCGTCATCTTGTGTTCATATAGCTTTTTATGGTTGTCGCCTCATTAACCTGGAAATAAAAGTTACTCATACGACTTGGTGTTTCGTTGCAGAAAATGCGGTCGTCAAAAGTTTTGCTCGAAGTGCTTGCTACAGACAAATACGAATGTTTTGTTTAAAGCACGGAAACTGCAAATGTAATATTTTTGAAGAGGTACACGATACTTTGAGCCCGCCTACTGTACTCTGCAGCGACTTGTTTCGCTTGTGCTAAGCCCCTCGAAACGTGTTATTTAAGTCATAAATTCATCTGATTATCAAAAGCGCACAACCATGAATCAGCGGAGGTTTGATCCGTGGAACGTTGCATGGATTTTTGCTAGGAAAATTGTCTTCATATTGAGATAAGCATATGTATATGCAGGACTTACTGAATTTGTTGTAGTGTAATTAGTTCATATTCGCACAGAGAATTCACAACGTTTACAGAATAATTTTGTTTGTGTTCGCAGTATAATTATTGGCGGCTTTAATGCGGTTCATTTAACGTAATTGTTCATTATGGTTTCATTCAAAGAGCATATTTTTATTGGCTTTATTAGCCATGGGAATACATTAACGTTTCATACTTGTAATGTGTATCACATACAAGTTGGTTAATATTAAATATTAAACTCATTTGCCTTTACCATTGAAAATGGTGGAACCGCCTCACAGCGTAAAGAGAATCCGCTTTTTGAAATCGCTACAATATTTTTATACTTTTTTACAAATACTATATAAATGTGTGCATTCGCAACTCATATATAAAATACGTTCAAGCGCCATCTTATTGCCACTTACCCACAATGTTTAAGTTAACTGAAAAACTGCGCACCGGTTGGGTCGATATTTGGCACTCGTAAACGCCGGCATCCCGCTGCTGTGCCCATTTTATTTGCAGAGTCCATTCGTCGATATCACGGTGGTAGGAAGTTTGAAACCGCTGATCTGTTGTGTATGTGTAGGTGCCCACGGTGAGGATGTGCAGGTCGCGGTGTCGTATCCAAGCAACCTGAAAGTGAATGCGAAACGAAACGTTGGTGTGAGAACACTTGGAATAAAGTGAGACAAAAATCAATCAACTGATCACAGTACGCACTCCTTTGAGTCTCTCCAGCGTCAGTATGGTGGCTTAAAATGTGTTGTCCTAAATATCCGTTTCAACTCAACAATTTTACTGTGTTTGTCTGCCCCGGAATAAACAATTTCTGTCAATTATTTTGCATAAGACAAAACGTGTAACATGCATGTAACTAATTACATAGCGTAATCAAAAGTAGTCATAGCCAAATTAGTTTCTCTCTCTACCATACAGGAAAATTGAATTTCACATACATTTGGTTAAACAATTTGCACGAAAAATTTATAACACTTTCACTGCCAACAACTCAACGCCTGGGTGGTAACCTACATTTAAGTTGAGGTTAAAAAACCGCATTTCTTAGAGTGCAAGCTTATGTAATGCTTTTCCCATGAGATTTAAAGCAAACACACTAATATCATTTAGCCAACGTAGATAAATGCAGTAAAATTCATTTTCTTACTAACTGCACTTTACTTATCTGGCTATGTGTGCCATTGCAACACTCAGGCAACATTAGGATGCTACTAGTTGGAATTGTGGGAATCTTAGAGAGAATTATTTCAGCGCCAATATTTATTATGTGTTATTATTAAAATAATAAATATAGTTTAAAAAATCTAAAAAACACGCGTTCAAAGCACTTTAAACTGAAATGTTAAGAGTACTTATATTATTGTGAGAAAAGTGCGGTATGCCGGATAAACGAAAAATATGGCACAAGCGATCCCACGATTTTCTCACAACAATACAAGTATTTTTCGGTCAGTTTATATGGTATAAGGAATTATTTTTCACTTTTTAGTTTGAAGTGCTTTAAAAGCATATTTTTTAGTATTTTAAACCATACATATTATTTAGGCACATGTGGTGTTTTCACTTTCTTTAAGGATGCGTTTGAGTAAATTTGTTATTCAAATCACAGCATGGATGGTTGATGCATAGTTTTAGGGGCATTTTATTGCAGGATGAATAATTCTGCATAGTTTTATAGTCGTTGTACAGACAGATTTTAAGAAAAAATATACATATATGTATATAAGTAGGCGTCGAGATCTAAAAATCTTCATTTGCAGAACTAACCAATCAGCTCTTTAAAAATTCCTTGCAGTCCGCATGTACGTACGAGATTAGTGTCGTAATCAATAGTGCTAAAACGAGAACGAAATTAACAAAGTATTGCCCGGCAATTCCAAATTTGGTTCATGCGCTTCCAAGAATAGTGAACAAAAGTTTTAGGAAACTAAATAGAAAACATCTATTCTATACAACATTCAATAGAATACAACTATTAGAATGCATCTACCCTAGATCTGCTATTAAATTAATTGCTTGTGTTTTTTTACCCTATTATTATCTAAGGTACCGTTTGAGTCACGCAGGAGCCACCCTAATGTTGCTAACAACCGCTGCAAATTCACTTCACTTACTAACGCACTGAGTGTAATTCTCAGAGATAAATGTGCAGAAGAGCTGATGATATTCGGACAATTATTTATAACCCAAAATGTTTCCATTACAAAAACATACATCTTTCGATAATCCACACACACGAAAGCCACATCAGATTAAACATTCAAGCATAGAGTTGTACAAGGGCACTTGTACAAGTATGTGAGAGAATACCTATCAGGCGCTATGTGTGTGGTGAAGGTGTGTTCGTGGATCGAACTTTCGCTTAGCTGGGCATCAATACATGGAAATGTATGTCGCTACAACATATTTCAAGCGTACAATGTTCTTGTTATTTGAAACCACCAATGTAGTTCGAATGAATTTGATTTTGATACTCTTTTTCGGTATGTGTACTATATGGTACTTCTGCATATGTGTGTAAGAAATTTCAATGGGCATTTGTTGGTTTCTTGGCAAAAAATGGTTTGTGCACACTTTTACTCCGACTACGATTACTGGGCAGTTCAAGCTTGGCTTTAAATGCACAAAAAGACTTTTGCAGCTTAGAAGCTCCTGATAACAGAGATACATGCGTACGCATTGGGCTTTGTGTTCCGTTTTCTTTTCGTATTTTATACCCGGTGAATTTCATTTAAGAAGTTCCTCTTGCAAACAAAATGTTGGAGAAACTTTTCCGTTCAAAAACTTGTTTAGGGAAATTTTGTAGATATATATATTCTATTCTAGATATACCAATTTATGGCACAAATTTCGAACTGTAAGTTACGAAGGTGGTCAGAAAAGTTATGGGGATTTTTGAAATTATAAATTGTTGCTTTGTTCAATAGAATCGAATAATTTTGACATACCTTAAAATTTACTATACCATAAAATATTTCAAAAATTTATAGAGAAGAACAAGAATACATATCTTGTTTAGCTATGGAGGAGCTGCCGCCCAAGCTGAAGGACCTCACTATTTCTCAAAACAGTTTAAATGAAACATTTAATAAAGAAATAGCGTGCCAACTTTTTATGCATAGAGACAGAGACCGGATAACACGTGTAATTTAAGGACAACTATGCAATCATGTCTCGCTTACCCATTTCAGATAGCTAACATATCCTTTACCGCTTCTCGAAAAAAATAATAAACAGATTTGCTCACTCACTTGGCACTGCAGGCGAACACGCTGAAGTTTGCACAGCTTTCGGCTTCAAGCACCACGCAGCACGCACCGACGACGAAGAGCGATGGTGAAAATGAGCAGTACAGCTGCTGACCTGCCAGCGAAACACGAACGCACACACATACACATGCACGTAGCCTCGCACACCTTTGACCAACTCCCCTCCAGCTGATTGCCAAAAGGCTTAAGACACAAGTGCCGCACTTTATGTCACATCATAAATCTTATGCAGCATTCGTGCGCACTTAAGTGCTGGCTGGCAGCCACGACGGCGCTCTTGGCAGTGCTACCCCGCATTGGTTGGGTGCAGCACCGGTCTTGAGTTGCCAGAAGCGCGAACTGCTTGCACATAAACACTTGCGTCGTCCACCGCTTCGGGCGGAGCGGAGCAGGTACGTACAGGCGACGCCAAGACACTGTGGGCGTGGATGCATGTATGCAGCTATGTGCAGGTGCGAGAATATGTCTAGAGCAAGAAATGAAGGAAGAATTGCTACAGACTCTCGGAAGCTGCTCGTCAGTGGCGGATTTGTTTGAGTTTACTCATCTCAAAGTGATCGGGTTAATATGAAACAATTTTTGTGGCGCAAATTAAACGAACGAATTAGTGTTGAAATTGAAGGTGTTAGGAAATTGGGCCATTTTGGGTTCCTTCTATCAAGACAGAATCAGTTCATTAAGTATTAAGAGTTATATTATGATAAATCTGAATATAGTTTTAATCAACTTTCGTTCTTTTCTCACCTTATGAGCTTGATAGTGTTATTCAACGACGCCTCTGTTTCTAACTTCTTTCTGCCCTTTGGACGATGACACTCGCATTGCTCTTTTCTTTAATAGCATGAAGAATTGCGCTGAAACAAGTTGTTATTTTTACCCTTTTGCTCTGTTTGTAGAACTTTCTACACAAGTTGTTGTTGTTGTACACGTAGTTGGCACACGTGGTGCGACTGTTGTTTACCTTGCTGCTCTATTGTATTACGATTTGGATTTTCGGATGTCGATTCTTGAAATATTTTGTTGGCGTTCTGGCCAGCAGCACGTTCTGCTCGCAAACGCTCACAGTTCACACCATTTTGTATTTGCGTAAATGCGAGACGGCATGACGTTGTGTTTTATTTCCCTTATTCATAGTCACTGCAAGTTCGGAACAAAATAACGATTGTGACAAATGACACTAAGAGCACGTGATTTGGCAGCCTGCGGAAGAATTTCCGATTTTTCAGTGTGAGGTCGCAAGTGCCTCTATTTGATTATGTTTTATATCATTGGATGCGAGAGCAAGTACGAACCCTTGATCGGATTGCGTTTTGATTCTTCAACCCTTTTAAGAACTGGGATACTTCTTTTACATGGAAATTTATTTTGGGTTTTAAAAAGTTATTCTAAAAAGACCAGAACTCTTTTCTCATACTCTATTCTGAAATGGAAGAACTTTTGGGAGCTGCAAATCTTTAAGCTGTAAATAAAACTATGAGTTGCCGGATATTTCAATATTTGAGGTCTACCCTTTAAAGATATTTTTCTACCTTGTTTGTATCTCTGCAGCTGAAAGTCATTTTAAGCCACATTAAATTTAAAATGCGCCATGCATCGTTCTTTGGAAAATGGATATAAAGTAAGCGTGGATTACTTTTAACCTTTTTGCGTTGAACACCGAAAATAACTTTAAATTAGTTTGTTTATTTTCAAACATGTTCGGCTAACCGGAATAAACTAAAAAGTCACTGGTGAAAGAAGTGAAACCCAAAAGGTAAATTAAATGCAAATGGAAAAGGGCCAAAGGCCAAACGGAAAACAGACTTGTATGCCAACATTTTGAAGACGAAAAACCGGAAGAAAAAACGCAGACAAAGTTAGCATAAATTTACGTATCTTCCGAAAATATTGTGGCTCACGTGGATTCTGCTGTAGTCAACACTGCAAGAGCACGTATGTGACTGTGTATGTAAATTTTTGGTTTCCGTGGATGTGGACTTTCATAAAATGGACTAACTAGGCTCGGAAACTAAAGGATAAACAAAATGCTAACTTTCTACTCCTAAAATCAATAATGGGTAAGACTAAAATTGCCAATTCTTACATAATGGGAGAAGGTACAACTTTTTATCGACACTTCTTAGGCAGTAAAACTATTTCCAACTCAATAAACAAATTCAAATTTAGGTCTCAAGTATATACCAAACATATGTACAGAAATCAAATTATTTAGCACGTCTGGTCACAACTAAGTTTAAATTTGTATTCAATATCAATAAACTCCAACCTTTTGTAGAAAAGCATATGATAGTTTAGATCAAAATGAGAGTAAAAGATAATAACGGTATTATTGGAGCGCATAAGGAAGTACTATTACCATATGTTTTTCATACGATTTAAAAATTCTAAATGTCAAAATTTTGCAAAATAATTATATCTATTTCTTTCAAAATATCTACTGTAAAATTTGTTAAATGGGCATGGACCTAAATCTCAGTAGGATATTGTTAATGGCCGCTTAAAGAAAACGCGAAAATGGACCAGTATGTACATATGTATGTGTAATATTAAGTATCTTAGCCTGAATATTTCTTAATAATCAATCAAAATTTCGCATATACGCGGGTATACATGTTCGCGAAGATAGAGAAATGTGGGATGTTGTCACCGAACAGGCACCCTGCTGTTTCTCTTGGTGCCTGCGCATAAATTAGGTATTACAACAGCTTGCGGCTTTTCCTAAAATGTGTTCGGCTTGTGGGCTATGGTTTTTCGCAGACCCATGTTGCATGTGTGTTTACAATTTGCTTCTGCGGTTTTCAGTCCTGTAGCACTGGCAGCATTAATATATATAGGCATATGTTCAAGCATGAGAATGTTTGCTATAATTCATCATATTTTTCTATTTCCTGAATATTTTTACTTTAACTTTAATTTCCGGGTTTCTTAACAAAAGCTTCTCGTAGGTTTCTTAACAAAGGCAGTGGAGTTGAAAGTAATTGAAAGTGTTCACCCTCCTTCGAATTGTCTTCGGTCAGGGTTAATGGCAAAAGCTTTTTTCATATTTGTTCATAGTTCAAAATTAACCGTTTAAGCTGTAGCCATGTATATATTATATAATATATTATGGGAGAAAATAGTTTGTAATTGTAATAAAAAAGAAAATTCGAACCTGAAAATCCCACCTTGGCCTCTGACGTGTTATAAAACATAAGGCATTGTTACTTGCCTAGTTGCTAATGAAGAGTGGCCCTCCCAACAGATCGGACCACTATTGCACAAACTGACCAATCAAAGTCAGGATAAAGATCTTTCTATAGCCTTTATGCTATAAGAAGTGCAACGGTGAAGGTTATTATAGTTTCGGTGCAACCGATGTTAACGTTAATTTATTTTGTTTTCATGAAACTCTGTAAAAGTAAACCTTCTGCAATTAAGGGATTGTGAGGAGAGAGGTTTTTGTAAGGACAACAGTTGTTTGGGAATAAGGTGATTATAAATATACATATTTATGTACTCACAGTTTTGTTTCCTAAGTGTTTGACACGACATCCCAAATATGCTGATTTGCCCACGAGCGATGTTATGTTCTTCGGCATTGTCAAGTCAAAAAATGGTTCGTTCCATCTGTGGCCATGCGGGTAGTGCAACGGCGGCATGTGTGTTGGTTTTGCGTCTAAATTATTGTGATTGTTGTTGTTAACTGACAACCGTTGGTAGCACATTGTCAGACCTGAAACGAAGAGATCGAAAATGCGGCGTATAGTAAAAACAATAATAACGAAATAACATTTGTACTCCAAACGATTAAAGTCGGAAGCAGCAAACGTCTATTTATAAAGGGTAATTAAGCTTAACTTTTAATAGGAGCGATTGGAGAAAAATAATCACCTTTGTTCGTGATAATTAATTATTATGTATTTAACCTTTATTGTGCAAAATTTTCCGAAGCTTTAGAACTTTCAGCAGAATATGTTTTAAATATGAATACACTGTTAAACATGCACCCAACTACATCAGATGTGTGCATGCACCACTGCACCTAGTAAGACTGAATATTTTAGTGATGGCTTCATTATTAATGCCTCATTAAGGTTTTCGCAATTTATTTTAATTAAAATTTCGTAAAATATAAATTTCTCTTATATAAATTGTACGAAAAGCAATAAATGTGCATATAATTGCAAACTGCCTTTACCTTGCCGCATATATCAAAGGGTGCTCTATTTGGAGATACAAAACAATCTAAAATAAATATAATAAGATAGAGAAAAATAAATCAAATATCTAATATTCTGACATTATTAGGACGCAAATATTGTGGAACTTAAGAAGACTATACTGTCGGTTCGAGTTTGCATACATAAACTTAAGATAACTCAAAACAAACCGATGAATCAAATCACATATCTTAGAAGGGCTTTGAAACTATATTTTCTGCTCTAAGTAGCGTTGCCCCGTTCTGATGAAACCGTTAAGCCATTATCACATTGAAATTTCGTTCGACCGTTTCACCGAATATACGACGATGGCTTCTGTTCTTCCATCAGATGAATTTTGTTGCTCAAGACCTCATGACAATGCTAGAATTGTTGAGACCTGCAAGCACTGGGGCTCACTTTGACAGCTGTTCTGACAGCTGTACCTATAGGAAATTCGAAACTTCTAAAACAATACCCTTTATATAGAAACAAGCGACGTATGTATCGATATCTGTTTAGCAGATCATTACAGGCTAAGCAGAACTACTGTTAAATGGCACTTTGATATACAAACATATGGATTATCTATGTATACTCATTATGTGAGTGGGTGTGCGTGTGACAGATATAAAAAGAGTAAAATTATCACATGTTGGAAAATATTTGCATAATTAAAAACTGACACACAAAAATGGTTAAAAACAAATATGTTGATGCGCTATTAAGCACATACATATCGATGCATACTAATTAGTTTGGTTTAAATAGTTAATTGCTATTACGGTTGTAGTCCAAGGGTTATGTAATGCCTTGAATTTCATCCGAATCAATTAAATACACATAATATTTTATGTTCAAATACTAATTATAACTACAAAAACAATACCTGTAGGCAAAGTAAAAATATTTAATTTGTTTGTGGTTTTTTGTTTGTTAAGATATTGGAAATTTGCGTGGGCAGAGCTCACCAATAAATCAATTGCTATGGTTAATCCCAACTGTAAACAAATTACTCATTTTTAGCTTTTATTCAAAATTCTTTAAAAGTTCAAAAAGCCCATATTTACACAAGTAGCACACCCCTGCCAGTCACGGCTAACCACTTTCCCCAAAAATTTCAACACAATTACACATTTTTTCTTCAATTACTAACACCAACGCCCACTTATGGGTAAGTCGACAAAATTTTGTGTAAATTTATATTTGTCTAATATTTTTTTTTATATTTTTGGCATTACTATAAGCGCAGATACATTGGATGTCTGTCTGATTCAGTTAGTATACTTCAATATCTAATGATTTAATATATATTTAAATATCATTTATATAAAAATGTTTTCTATTTTCACAGCCAACCGTTAAACACCAGAAAATTCGATTCATTAGTGGGGGTAATGCGAATTATTCATAATTTGCTCATTTTACTTTTTGATTTTTATTCATTGGATATCAATTCATTGTTGGGCCACAAACGAGAACCCATACTCCCAATCAAATAACCTTTGATATATAATCAGTTTAGGTTAATTTAAGTTTAAAAAGCAACAGTAAATGTTTGTAAAATAAAATACATGCAGTACCATACCTTGCAACTTGCTTATATCAAATTTTACTTCCCGTCAGCGAAACTTAGTCTAAAGTCATCCTAAAATGATATATACTTGTATGTGATATTGTTGATGTGGCAACGTCACCCAGAGGATAGGAATTCATGATGTTAGGAATATGAGGTTTAGACCAAAGTATACTCTGTACTCTGTAGCAAAATGTTGCAAGAGTAAAAAAAATTTGATAAACACTTTAAAAATATTTTAAATTAGGAATCCGAAAATGCAACCCTGCATCAGCTGACGATTAGGGAAATTAAAGCAGCTCAGCTATACGTTTTTTGTAGCACACAGCTGAATGAGTGCAAGAGAAAAGCATGATCACATTTATACGTACGTGAAAGAAGAAAGTGGTGAGAATAGTCACGCCGCCTTGTTTTGAAGGTTTGAAAAGCTAGTGTTTTACTAGTTGTTTAATAATATTTGGCTAATAGAAATATAATTATTTATAATTTCTCACAAAAAACCTTAGAGTGTGGTATAAGCTTATACGAATTCTAGATGTCGAGATATTTCGGAATAAACAAAGAGCGAAACCACCACCACCTTATAGAAACCTATCTCACATAAACGTAGTACACACGGGACCTCTCAGAACGTAGAATTGCTATAAATCCAAGATCTATTAAGCTCTATGACCTTAATTTACGCTATATTTGTGCTACTCTGAAAACAACGTTGCATATAATATTTCCCTTCACCAATAAGATCACATTTTTAAAGTATTTCCGAGTTTCAATTTCACCGAAAAAAATAAAAAAGTCCCCATTGAGAAATACAATTTCTGCTAAATTTCACTTTTCAATTCTGAGCCCTTATAGCCATGCGCGGCACGTAGCGAGGAAGCGAAATATTTGTGTACCGAATTGCATCTATTGTAATTCAATTGGTGGAAACAGCAAGCATAGCTTTAGGAAATAAATAAATATGTTCGTGCGAACAGGCGCGAGCTGCTTAAAAGCTCCCATCGGAAAATCAAAACCTTAATGGATTTGAGGATTTTACAAGCTTATACAAGCTATTTGTATACTCTTGCAACATGTTGCTACAGAGTATAATGGTTTTGTTCACCTAACGGTTGTTTGTATCATCTAAAATTAATCGAGATAGATATGGAGTTATATACATGTATATTTATAAATGATCAGGATGACGAGATGAGTTGAAATCCGAGTGACTCTCTGTTCGTCCAACCGTCTGTCCGTCCAACCGTCTGTCCGTCCAACTGTCTGTCTGTTCAAGCGATAACTTAAGTAAAAATTGAGATTCATTGAGACCATTGCCACGCCCACAAAACGCCATTAAACGAAAACTTCAAAGTGCCATAACTAAGCCGCAAATTAAGATACAAAACTCTAGTTTAGTAGACGAGAGTAGCCAGGGACACCTGTGGGCCAAATTTTTTTTAAAGTGGGCGTGGCTCTATCCCCTAAATAGTTTAATGTACATATCTTCCAAAGATCGTCCGCGTAAGATAAAACAATCAAATTTGCTGAAAAGGACTCATTTTATCACCTCTTCAAACTCTGTGAAAATGGGTAAATTCGGGTAATAACCACGCAGCATTAAATTTTACAATACTTATGGTAGAGAAGAGCTTTTTAGGATCCATAACAAACTTTTAAATACCGTCTGATTCTTTCACTTTACAATACACAAATCAAACAGCAATAAAGTTATTAAAAGAAGACAATGCACAAATCGTGCGCTCAAGTATTTCATCTTATTTCCAAACCTTCTCGAAATCGCACTATAGCTTGTTCGAAACATGGGTAAAAGCAGGTCAAACCTTCCCTTAGCCCCCTTATACCTAACATAATTATTTTTGAACCTCCGGTTCACTTAATCCCTTAAGTCATTACTTAAGCTTAATAGCATTCCTCGGCGGAATGTGGCGGCCAGTGCTTAAATGGGGCCCAATACTCAAGTGAGCTAATACTTAGTAATTTAAGCGAGAATGAGCAGACAAAATATCTATATGTGAATATATACTTCATTTATTGTTCCGACAAACAAATTTATTTAAAAATGTTTAAATGTTTGAATACAAACATACGCAGGTTGCAACATTTTTCTTGCGACTTGAACACTGGACATTTGTAGTAATTCGACTATAAACGCTCCAAAGCGTTTGCATTTAGCAACGTTTATGATTGGTGCTTTAAACTCAAAAAAATGTCTGAGCTCGTCAAAGAGTTTTCTCCCATTTTTTCGGCGTTAATGATTATGTGACTACAGATCAAAAACTTTATGCCGATGCCATAAAAAGACAACTTAGTTCTCAGAATGACAAAAAATACCTCGAATCAAAACTTTATTCAACTGAACTAACATCAAAACAAACTACATATCTATATAAATATTATAAAGAGGAAGGATTTAACTATTTGAACGGAAAAGGCTCCGAAACTTCTAGACGAATTTGAAAAATTCTTTCACTTGAGAAGCCACACTGTCTCAGGTGAACATAGTCTATATTATATTTTCTTAAAATCTTAGGATCCTTACTAAAACGTTAATAATGTACCCCAAGGTGTAAAAAAATTACCTAAAAACTCCGTACATAGCGTGCGCTGCGAATACTATTGATTATAGAAGAAGACTTTTCAGAACATACCTATAATTGTCAACAAATCATATACTTAACTGTTATTGTTACGTCAAAATAAGTGATCTTGTATTAATAAAATATTAATTAAAATGCCGTCTCTGAAAAAACTCTTTATTTGTACTTTAGTATTAATCTCGATCAAAATAAATTACTTCATGTTCAAGACTGCTTCTATACCTTCATATAACTTTTTTAATTATTCGACTCGGATATTCTATTTGAAAGATATCACGTTTTTAAAAATGTAAGTATTAGAAAAAAGTCGAGTGTTGATCGACGATTCGCTTGACTAGGCTGCAATATAATATGCGAT